GTCTTGTGAGATGGGAGAGCTGTTAGTACCTAGGCATGGATGCTCAGGTGGTCAGTCTTGAAATTAATATCGTGGCGTTATTCTTCGCGTAGTCATAACGCCAGAGTTCACTAGTGAGAAAATATACTGTGGCATTTATGATATTCATCGCATTCATATTATGTGAATGGAATTTTACCACGTAATGTACAACTCATTCATTTATGAAGATGGATGAGTGAGCGATGCAATCACCAGTACTTCCTTCTATCTTCCCCGCCCAAAAATAGTAGTCATAAATACCTAGGTAGTTATAGAGTCTAGACCATCATGCATCTGGCTGGCTAGATAATAAAGCCAGGCAGTCAGTTAGTTATTCGTACATATTTGATCTCTTGAAAAGGGTTTGAAGGGGTTTGCTGATGTGTATTCGCCAAGGTCGAGCTACATCAATTTTAATTCTTTTGAGGGGCAAGGGATGGGACTTGAACTAAACTTGCTTGTGGTACTTCCCGCAGGTGAAAAGAAAGAGGAGAGGGATGAGAGCTCAGAAATGAGGAATCAAGGATGTTGAGTATCGATGTAGACAAATTCAAGATCGGAAAAGCCATTATATCAATCTTCTTAACAAACCATTTTCCCCCGCGGAGGTAGGTAGATTATATAAACAAATCGTACCGTACAATCCAATTTAAGCTTACTCAACCTGAAAGTTTCAGTATTTACACTGCATCATTGTACAAATAGATATCTAGGAGAATCGTTGAACTTCCCTTAACAAGCCCCAACTATAACTATCCGTCTCTAAAGTACTGTCCGTGTTGATTCTTGTTTCCGCGCTATTCTGTGTGTCAGGAATAAATGTTCATCGTCCTATTACCTTCTACCTTACCATAATCGAAATCAAAATCAGAATCTAGAGCGATTCAAAGACCGTATACATACCATACCATCGACAGAGTAATCTAGCAGCGCATCTAATCCAAAATCATGCACAAGTGACTAGAACCCAGCCTCAGCCACGAGTGAAAAAACCCATCCATCCAACCATCCATCCATCATACCAAAACATCTAATCTCAACCTAAAGAGAAAATCGAGAAAATCAAAGCGTCTACCTGATCATCCTCACTCATATATAGAAATATTACTTCCATTCTGTTCCATCTTCGATACTCATCGATGACCGAGAAGGATTTCTGGATCCTCGTCCTCGGATTTCACTTGGAATGCGTAGTTTGTATCTCTGTTATTCTCCATACTCACACATACTCACCACCCTCATCATATTTCAGAGTATACATAATCCATGACAGATCTCCTCAAATTTCACAACATACCCAGAGACAATCCTCCTCCCTCTCTGCCCCTCTCCTCTCCAAATAATCTACACCTCGCGCTCGAACCTCCATTAGCCTTCAAAATGGGATTTTCGACCTGTAAGATTAATATCTACCCATCTAACTATGCCCGTATATAGTATATATCTGTTTCTCAAACAAGTTACATGCCATATATGTATAAAACGCATATCCATTATCCATTATAGATAGATCTTTTGGCTCCTCGCTAAGAGATAGAATAAAATATGAAGATATCCATTGTACTTCCGTATCATTGCTTCATTTAGGAGTTTGACAGTTTGGGAATTCGTATATTTCTATTCATTCCCCTATGTTATATATATATATATATATATGAACGGAGTCAATCCCGAAACTCGAATCGAATCGAATCGAAATGCTTCGAAAACAGAAGCAAGCGATCTTCTACTTTTAATTTCTTTTTTTAAATTATCTGAGAGGAGAGAAAAAAAAGCCAAGAAAAGAGTAGAAAGCGGAGAAGTAGAAAAAACAGAAAAGAACAAAGCATACCAAGAGCAAAATCCCCTCTATAAAAAAATAAAATAAGTATTAACAGGCCTTCCATCATCGCCCTTAGTATATTTTATTTTAGCTGATTCCTGTATATATATATTCATATTATCCAACTGGAAGCGAGGTTTAACGAAACTCCTGTTTTCGTTTTCATTTTTTTTTCGATATAGTATTCAATATTCAATATTCAAATAATTTTTTTCCATATCCTCCCTCTCCCTATTCTCCCTCTCCCTCTCCTTATCGACTTCGACTTCGACCAAGATTCTAATCTTCAAACCCGACAAACAGATCTTCAACTCAATCCAATCCATCGAGAAATTTTCACTCTATCTATCTATAATCCATCAAACCGAATCCCCGCTTTTCGTGAACAAAGATTCAAGAATCAGACAGAAAGATTCAATTCCTCCTAATTCCTTGTATAATAGATATCACGATAAATATCAGAAATAATACTTTTTATGTATTGATATCTAAAATGTTATAATTGACATTTCTTTCTTAAAACTAACAATTTTGATTTTTTTGTCTTAAAAACTTTTTTAAAAAATGACATTTTTATTCTAAATTTCGATTTCTTAATAAATATTATTTTAATCTCAAAACAAAAAATCTAGTTTCTGTCACGGTATACACGTGATCGCGTCCGATCGGGCTAGTACGACACTAAGCTTTGAGTCAATCGTATATATAGCTTTGTAGTATATTCTTTTTAATTTTGTAGCTTTTAATTTTAAGATTGATTTTTAAATGTTTGTTAAGTTTGTTATATTATTAAAAGCTTTTTTAAATAAGAAATAGAATAACATTAGTATATACTTATGAATAAAGCTCTTATGTATAAGTTATCGTTTCTACTCTTTCGCTTATATATGGATTTTTTTAATATTATTTAAAGGTATTATTTTTTTTTTACTTTTAATTTCTTAGTTATAAATTATAATTTGATAAACCTTATAATTATAGAACTTTATAATGAAATGATTTATTAATGGAATAAAATTTTGTTTTTATACTTTCTAATCTTTAAATATGTTTTTATTACTTAAATGTTTTTTTAATTGAAATTTTCTTTTTTCTAATCTTGAAAAGTTTAGTGGTAGTTTTCAGAAATTTGATATATAATTATTTTCGATTCGAATAAAATTATAAATAGATAGTATTACAATCAACAATTTTATTACTCAATTTTATTATGTTTATCTTAATCTCGAATTTCATATATAAATTATAATATTACTTTAGCTTTCTTTTTTTAATTAAAACATTCCCTTAGATTATACAACAATTCTAAATCAATTTATATATATCTATAATAATTCGAATAAAATATAGGAAGTTGAAGATAAGTTATTTAATCTTAAATAAAGAATCGATTCTCTATATGTTTATATTACAAAATTTGAAAGGATTCTTTATAAAGTAAAAGGCTAGAACTAATTTAATTTGAATAAGATCTTAATCTTTTGTAATAAATTTAATACTATTCTTAGAAATCATTTTTCTTAATAACTTTCATTATCCCGCTTATATCTTAATTTTGTTTAGGTTATATAATAATTAGTTATATATATAATAATTAGATTTTCTATATCATTTTACTTTAGTAAATTTAAAATCTTATATTTATTACAAAATCCATTTTACTTTCGAAATTATAATCTAATGAATATTAGTAATCTTAATATTCTTAATGTCTCTAATATTCCTTTAAACAAAGCCAATTATACCCCAATTTTATTTTATATTAAAACGCCCAAGTTCTTCTTTACTAAAAGAATTCAATTATATAAGGAAAACAAGTATATTTAATATAAAAATGTTTTTCATTAGATACAAATCTACCTACTTAATTTATATTAAAGTGCTTAAAATCGAAAAGAATCTGTTTTAATTGTTACATTCACTCCTACTAACTTCTACAACAATAATAATAATAAAAACTTAGATAAGATAATTAATAGTTAATATTTTGAAGATCGCTTAAAAGAAGTACAAACTTCTACTAGTTAATACTTTTCATTTAACAATAATACATTTAACCTCTTAAAGTATTTTATAAAAAATCAATAAAGAAAATAATAATAATGATAATAAAAAAGAGTTTTATTAATTATATTTTATACTTAAATCATTTGTTTAAAGTAAGTTCAAAACAAACTCTTCAAAAGAAGAAAATAGTATTATAATATATACATAATTGCATTTAATCGAATTAATATGATACTAAGCTTCGAGCCGATCGCATATATAGCTCTATAGCATACTCTCTTTAGTTCTATAGTTTTTAATTCTAAGATTGATCTTTAAACGTTTATTAGGTTCGTCACAGTTTCATCTTATAATATACTATTATTTAATTAAAATTTAAAGTTTAGAAATTAAAGTTTGAAATATAATTCAAAATATAATTCAAAATATAATTCAAAATATAATTTAAAATATAATTTACACAATACAATAATTTAATTTTATCAATTCGCTTATAAATAAAGAAATGTTTCTTTTAGAAATCAAATTGATTTAAAAACAATATCTAGAAAATTATAATTTTAAATTTTAGAATCAAAATAATGAAAAAGAATTTAGAATAAAAATATTATTTTTTGAAAACACATTTAAGTTAAACATGTCAAAAGTACTAATTTAAATAATAAAAAATTAATTTTAACATTTTAAATAGCAATACATAAAAAAGTAAGAGTTCTAGAACCTCCTTATCGCACCTTATAAATTTTTATAACAAAATCCCTATAAAAATGATGCTTTTCTACACAAATGAAAAAAATTAATAACTTTTTCAATTTAAGGAATTTATTTCCAAAATTTTAAAATAAATAATCAATACTATTTTTTATTGAAAAAAAAAAATTATTTTTAATCACTTTTGTTTATAAATGATATAGATTTGAAATTAAAAAAATTGAAAATTTCTAACTTGTAACGCTTTTTTCATACAAAATAAGCAATTTTTTTATATAGAAAGTTTATATTTTTTATCTTTAATAACTTATAACTTTATAAATAAAATATTTAAAAATAAACTAGCTTTGTTTATATAGAATTAGAATAATTCTAAATCGATTTTGATTTCTTTTTATTATTTTGTATAAAACTTTAGTAAAGAAACAGGGGGCTTAAAAGCTGAAAAATTAATGGTTTTAGCGGGGAAATCGAGATCTGTACGATGAGGATGTTCTAGAACTCTTACTATTTCTAGTATTTATTATAGATATTACATATTACTCATATCCTCAACAACTATACTAATGATACTATACGTAAAAAGAAAGAACCAAACGTCATATTATTCGAGATGAGCCCCCTGCAAAGATATCCAGAATGACCATCGAATGGAAAAGAAAAAAATACCATCTCCTCAAAGCAAGTAAAGGAATCAATACGAAGAAGAACGCGACGGAGAATTGTTAACTCAAGTAGACAATTATTAGTGCATTATATGAAACATGGCAAGAGAAAGAACAAGTACAAGACCACTGAGATGAAAAGTCTCAAAATGAGAAGAGAAGATGCATACATCTTGAAAATCAAGAGGAAGGGGTATCTGCATATCCATATTTATATATTTCCCCTCTCACACAACCTAGGCAGGCAGCCCCTTACACCAAGCACCGTACCACACCACACCACACCACACCACCACCACAATTTGGGCCGACCTACCAGGCCATCAACGTCTCGATACAGAACACAGAAAGCCAGATCTTCAAACCTACCTAATATCTTTCATCTCAACCCAGGAATCAAACCTACTGTACCGCTTTCCGTGAAATTCTAGCTCAATCTCAAAACACACCAACCACCAATCACCAAGCCCCCTCTCTTTACCCATCTTTCTCTCTCTCCCCTCCTCTCATTTACCAGCATCCAACAACCAACAACCAACAACCAACCAGCCGACCATTAATCCAGCCAGAAAAAAACACATGCGTTGAAACACACATCCAAGTTTCCACTCCTATCCACCTGAACCGTAAAGCGTTGTCCATCTAGGTCGAGGTCAAGGTCGAGATCCGTCAATTCATTTCAACCTGCCGAGTTAAATGAGCAGCTTGTACATTCTACTAACAGGTCGAGATAGGCAACTCGGGTAACAACCATAAGACGAATGACAATGCATGATATGTAGTTATAAAAATGCCTGGGTCCTTTGCATCAACGCGAAAAGAATTCAGACATTTTCGATATAACTTTTCAAAGTGGTTGCGCGTTCCTTCTCCTAGGTAAGGGAAACTTCCCGTTTGATTAATATTAGTCAGGGATCTCACAATATAATGAAGAGTACGCGAAAGCAGAGTGAGATTATCCCAATCATTCAAAGTCCATTCACAAGAAGATTCATGGATCCAAATCACATATTTCTAAACCATCAATTCATACGTTCATTTCCTAACCTCCACATACCAGAACCCAAAACACCACGCGGTGTTGTCCCCTTAGACACTCTGCTCTATCCATGTGTATAATACTCGTTTCAATCTTCTATCCCATCCCCTCACCCCCTAATCATCGAAACCCCCACTAAGCCTTAGGCTCAACCCCTTCAACAGCACTCTTGATAGCGCTTTCCAACGCAGCAGGGTTAGCACCTACAACCTCTGCGATCTTTTGCTCTCCCTTGAAAATTATAAAGGTAGGCATGGCTCTGATACCAAGCTCTTGTGATACCTCTGGCAACTCATCGACATCGATTTTGATGAAATGGGCGGCGGGGTAGTCATTCGAGAGCCTATTTACCATGAATTAGAATATTTGCTCTCTGATTTTTCTTTGTCAAAAAGAATGAGGGGAGGTAAATAGACAGGGCCACAAAGGGAGAAAACATACTGAGCAACTTTAGGAGCGATGGCCTTGCAAGGTCCACACCAGACTGCAAAAGCATCGAGAACAACGACTTGGTTGTCGGCAAGGGCAGACTTGAAATCAGCTGCGCTGTTGGGTCTCTGTTAGTATTTGTGCTTTTGTACCTGTGTTTATACTATGGAGCTCTTTCGGAAAGCTCTTCGTGCCCCACACAATCTACACATATCATCGAGGATATAGTATAATATTGTGACGCGACCGAACAGAGACATCGATGATATATCCAATATCCCAATCCCAAGATCGAGGGACAGAGTATATATCTCGTCTCCAAAGAGACGGGAAAAGGGGGAGTAAAACTCACGTTGCGATATTGTGAACACCCATATTTGCGAAAGATTGATGAAAAGCTCTTTTATTAATAGATTGACAAAAGACGGTGCGATTATAAGTTTTTGGTAATCGTGGTAGAGATCGAATGAAGAATGACATATGCAAACTCTTGCAGATATATGAAGAGTATTTGTATGTTTTGGGAGTTTGTGGAGGCTGACGGGAAGAAGTTGGGAAGTTGGGAAGTGATGGAAGATCCGTCGATGTGTTTCTCTTCCGATGCTTTCTAATGCCGATTGATTTCTAAGAGGGGTAATGCTGATTAATACCTGGTTATTCAGGTGTCAAATGACGAAATGATGATTGTGTAAGCAGCGATGGGCTAGATTCCTTTATCCTTGTGAGATGGATGATGAGATGTGATTGGGTGAAGGGTGAAGGGTGAAGGGTGTTTGGAGTGTGTATGAGATTATATAGAATGATTGACTGAGTGGTATTGACATCTATTTTGGGATGATATCATGATTAGTATTTGAATTCTTTCGGTCTCGCCGTCGCTGTTGTCTTGTGATTATTTGCTTTGTATTTCTTAATTACAAGTCGTCAATATTAATTATACAGTCGGCGGCTGGTATTATATGATTATCCAAACAGGGAAAGTCCGAAGATATCCTGATTTTCAACTCATCTCTACAAACATCGTAACATCATCTAGTAAGCATGCTCAGAAATCCATCCATCACCTCTTCATTTCTCAACAGCTGTGTGTCAAGCAAGCTACTAGCTAGCTATCATCCCGACACAATCCCCTCTCTTTCTATACATCCGAGTCATGAATTACCATATCTCAAGATCCTATCACGGGAGATCAACCAACATTCCACTATTCAATTATGCAATCAATACATCATAATCACCCCTCGACCCCTCCACTCTATCATCCCACCACCTACCACACGTACATACAACATACAACTCAGCCCCAATCCTCAATGACATAATTCATCTTCACCGTTAACCCCCATTTTCCCTTCCCTCTCTCCCCTCCCGTCTCTCTTCAGCCCCAGCCTCTCTTCATAACACCACACACACTATCACACTGTCACACACACCCTCAAATCCCAATCCCTCAATCCACAACAGCAAGCCAACCGTCCAACCCTCCAGCCGTCATTCCCCCCTCAAATCTCCATGCACGAAATCCATCCCAACTCTCAGCTGAAAAGCACCCTGCCCACCGCCCACCGCCCCCTTCTACCGGTACCCCTCTTGGACCCCTACCCCAACAAATATCCATCCATCCATCCTCATAACATGCATCTGTCCTATATCTGTCTCTGTACCTGCAGCTAATAGCTACATCACACCTACCTACCTATCTATCTACTCATCCACTAATACCTATCCCGATCCCGATCCCGATCCCTATCCCTATCCCTATCACTATCACTATCTCATACACCCCATCCCATCTCGCTTCTCCCGGATGGTGATCCCATCTCATCCCATTCTATGAGTTTATATGCACATGCACATGCATACATCAACACACACCCAAAAGAAAACATCAGCTGAAACCCTTACCTACCATTGATTCATTCTCTTTGTACATACTCCCTAACCCTACAACTTCCCTCCCTCCAGACCATCAAATACAAACACAAATACCAAAAGCAAGTTCACACTTCACAAAAGCGAGCACAGATATCATATAATATAATACAATCATAATTACAACCATCTCATCTCAATTCTCGCCCTCCTCTTCTTGACTCCTTCCTCCCCCGCCTCGTACAACGTTCTCAGGTCCCAATCCCCGATCCCGGATCTCGCATCAAAAGTTGGAATCTGATATATCTTTTTCAATTCTCACTCGTCTCACCTCATCCATACCTCAAGAAATCAATCAACCAGAAGAGAAAACAAAGTTTCAAAAACGAAGAAGCTAAATAGCTCACTATTACTAAACACTATAATCTTCCTCAAATGCCCAATCCTTAAGAGCCCTGCTCTCTCCTCCCCTCCCTCTCATCTTTCTTATCCCCGGGTATCTCTTCCACTCAAGAAGTAATATTACATATTTTTCCTCCCCTTCCATTTCCTCCTTCGCCCAAAAACCCTCCCCAAGATCCTGTAAAAAAAAGGAATGACGCCGTCATAATTTTCCACCCCCCCAACGATACCCCGATTTCTTTTTTCGGTCCCCTATTTCAAATACATGTTGGGGTATTGATTCGAAAAAAATCAAAAAGCAAAAAAAGGCAGAAACATCTATGTGCTAGTGGGGATATCAATTCATTATGAAACCGAAAAGAAAGCAAAAGAAATAAAGAAATATTTTTGTCGTTAATCCGTGAAATAGTGATTGTGGAGTAATGCGATTAAATTGATGAGAAGTCGATAGTTGATGTATAGAGTAAAGATATCATGGACAATGACAATGATCGAGACGAAGCTTTGTTTAGTATTTTTAGGTCGATTCGAGCCTTTTCATAAGGAAATGTTTGTTAAGGAGCGAATGCTGACAAAAGAAAAGTTGCAATGAGCGTGAGTGTCGATAGTGACAAAAATGTTGTAATAAAATAATTAAAAGAATGTGGTGCTCGTTTCGTTCTGTCATTGCCCTCGAAAATCTTCATCTTTCCACCACTTCGACTTTACGAGTCATCATGACTCACACTAGTCCTTCATGCCTCCCCAGAAGCTCTTGGTTTCATGTCAAGAAGTCTCGCGCTACCAGCACTGATTCTTCTAACATGTCCAAAGTCAACACTTGTAGCTCTGCTGATACCAGGACTATCCTCGTTGACGAATTCAGCCTGATAGCTAATACTTCTTCGGTAGCCTGGGGAATCTTCAGCAGCCTCATCCAAAAGTCCTTCGCGAGATTTGGCTCGTTCACGGTGAATTACAGTAGCATGTCTTGCCACAGCTCCCCATTTTGTCTTCTCTTCTGGAGATGGATTTTCTTTAATGCTAGCTCCATCTTCCTCATCACTAGAAGCCATGGGAAGACCGGTAGATTGACGTTTCATCATGATTTCTTCCTCGGGCCCCGGTGTAATACGGCTGAAGTATTCGTCTTCAGCAATTCCAAGTTCTTCTGAAGATTCTGATAATTCTTTGTAGCGTTGTTGTAAAGAGCTAGCAGAATCGCGTAATGGTGACAATATCATCTGTGCAGATCCCCGTTTTGAAGCTGTTTTCTTTCCAGAAAGCCATGATCCTTCGGAATCTATTGATGCAAGAGATTGGGAGATAAGGGTAGGTTGTTCGGGTGAAGGTACATCTGTTGATCTGTGACCACTTGTAGGTGTGCTATCCCGTAAACGCACGACACTGATTGGAGTATCGTATCTGCGTTGCTCCTCCAAAGATCTTCGTAAACTACCTCTCTTCTCTGGATAAGCAGTTCGTATTGGTGGTACGACATCAGTCTCAGGAGATTGTAGTCGAGAGTCCGGTGGTGAAGCTGGAAGTTCGGGTAAATCTTCTCTAAACTTTGACATCGTTCTTTTGGGGATGTTTGATGTTTGCCTAACCATTGGCGTATATCCCAAATGTGGTGGTGGCCCGGTCTGCACTGTTTCCCGTGAAGTGTTCGAGAAGGATGGTGTGGAAGTCCTGCTAAGTCTCTTGTTTCGTCTAAAGAACGATGTCCACGATTGAGAAGTTTTGGCTTCTACAGGCTGCTTGGCAGGTTCTGCCTCCACTCGCTGTTTTTTAGATGGAGAAGGTGTCCTGGATTTATCTAGGTTTACCACGTGCGAACTATTCGATGGCCCTCGAAGATGGCTCTTTGGTGAAGCAGGTAGTGAAACATTAGCTTTGCCGATAGTACCAACCTGCGCAGCTCCTAAGAATGGTACGGAACGTTCTGAAGAAGAGGTTGGGTTCTCATCGACGAATGGAGTTTCGTGCGCAGGAGAATCTTTGAGAAAGGCATCCGCAGGTCGCTTTCCTCTTCCAGAATCCCAGGTATCTGATCCTCTCCTCTTGCTTGACGTGGTTACCGCGGAAGTTCCAATGCCCAAGCCTACTACCTCTCTTCCTAGAACCCCCCTCTCCATGTTATCCGGTGGTGGTGTACCGTATCGAGCTGCAGCTGCTTCTTCGGCTTGTTGTTTCTCTTGCTTTCTTGCTAACCTTCTCTCTGCCTTCAGCTTCTCATCGACCTTCTTTCTTTCTCGCCTCTTCTGGTCTCTTTCCATGAGCTCCCGAAGCTCTCGAGCGTCTAGATCATCGGCAAGTTCATCAATTCTCTTATTGGCTTTTAGAACTTCTTCCGGAATATGTATGCGATCCAAGATACGTCGTTTTTGCGAGTCGGATCTATCTGAACCAAAACCGGTTACGCCAGGCGCGTATCGAGGGTTTTCGGAATGTCGAATGGTAGGGCGTGGTGCCAACGCATCCAATGCAGATATTCTCCATGAAGTTTGATGCTCGGAATTCGAAGATACTGAAGAACGCATCGATTCTACCGTTGGCAGTGAAATATCGGAGCGCGGGTTTTGTAAATTCCCTTTCAATCCAGTCCGCATTCTCTTGCTATCCCTCTTCATGGGACGACCAGATGATGATGCATCTGTAGCCGGTCTGCTAGGCATGAAAGAAACCATTGCTTTAATTTCCTCTTCCCTATTAAATTCTTCCTTGCGCTTTTTACTCGACTTCCGCCTTGAAAGTTCTGCAGTACCTCTTTTATGTAATGTTGGCACCCTCTGCCAATCGTTTAACCCCTCGGCCTCTTGATCTGTAAGTCCAATTGTGGTGTCTCTTCCGTCTCGACCATGTGCAGGTAAAGGAGGAACCGAGGGTCTATGCACGTCTCTAGGCACGCGAATGCTATCGTTTCGACCGGGAGAAAAACTATAAGTCCTTTGCCTTTCAGGCTTCTGTAACTTTTGCGTATCCCTCGAAGATTTTCTTCTCCTTTGAGAGTCCCTCCGGCTTCTTCTTCTCTCAATGACTGATAAAGGGTTTAATTCGGATCCATCATGCCTTCCAGGGTCCCGCTGTGTGCCAGCATCGTGCATGGTTGAGTGTTCGGAGCGAGAAGTGCTTGCCCCACTGCGCGACGCTCTGCGAGTACTTTTCCAACGGAACGGCCACAAACCCATCTTTCCATCGATGTGTGTAAGATAAAATTTATGCCCCTCTCAATATTACGAGGTTGGCACTGAGCTGTAATATATGTTGTGTCCAAACCCGCTCAAACCCTTCACGGAGCTCCAAGGTTTCAATCTAGTACCTGCACGCGTTGATCATGGCCATCAAATTGAATCTCGACCGAGTTAATGTGTGTGAGCACTGAGCACTGAGCAAGCGACTGACAGATAAAACGTTTAAAACCCCACGAGGTCCTTCCTTGTCGCAAGTTAATAAATAGAAAATTGTTTTGTGAAAGTGGATCGCGTTTTCGCTCGCATGACGTTCATTCAAGTAGTGTCTGTATACGGAGGTTCTGCTTTTGAGTTTTTTTTGTTTGGTTTGGTTTGGTTTGGTTTGGTTGGTGTGGTTGTGAATGATTTGAAAGGATTATTCTGGTGTCATTTGAGCAGAATCGGATATTAAGAGCGTTTGGCCAGACAGGCAAGACGAAAGATGGGGATGGGGATGGAGATGAATTGATCGAAATGGTCGAGAACTTTCTCTTTCTGAGATGAATTCTGGGAATTTGGGATCCTGAGGGAATGTAGTTGGCGTTGTGAGATGTGAATGGTATTTGAAATTGGGAATTCTTTTAATTGCGAAAGTAAGGGAGAAAGAAGATGAAATTGAAATGAGAAGATATGGTTGGTTGGTTGCTTTTGGTATGTGTGCCCAGGTGGGTGTTAAGTGTACGAGCGAGTGGAGTAGATATGCTGTGATATGTGTGTGGGAGAGTGAGGGTACGAGAGAGTGAATTTTCCAAGGGTTGTTCTTGTTTTTCTTTTTCTGTTTCTTTCTCTTTTCTCTTTCTTGGTAGATGATGGAGATGGGTGAATGGATGAGATGATGAGGATGATGAGGATGAATATGGATTGGGGAATAGATATTTGTGTGTGTGTGTGTGTATCGTGTGTATACCTATGGTCGACAAGGCCTGGTCTGGTCTGGCTACCTAGGTGTGTATGTGTGTGTGTGGTGTGGCTGATTCGATTGATTGATCGATTCATTGATTGTGTTCCCTTAATAAGATCTCGTCCAATATGGATTCAAGGTTATAACAAGAAGAGGTAAATTGGTAAAAATAAAGTAAAAACAGACCCAAGGGATGATGGATTGACTAAAAAATAAAATAGACCTCGTTGATCTGACGATTCTGACCTCCCTAATAATAATCATTCAGCCCCTCCTTCGTTTCTTGTTTCTCCTGCAATATGTTTATTAAGCTGTGATGTATATGTACGGAGTAGATTGTATACACTCGTAACTTTAGCTACATTAGTCATGTAGCTACCAGGTAAAGTGTTTACTAGCGAAGCACATCGTATGTATCTATGTCTGCCTGGCTGTCTGTCTGTATGTATGTATGTATGCATGTAGGAAGTAGGTATTCAATACATTGCAATACATCTTGTATCTCTTCCTCTCGTTCCCTCCTTCATTTCAACTCGATCTATCAGACTACTCAGGTATCAGCACTCAGCACATACCAAGACTCCTGATTACAATTGCCACAACACCAACTAACACATCCGGATCGATCATCTAAGTTCTACAAGCGCACGCTACTACAAGTCTACGGTACGGTGCGAGACGGAGAATGCCTCAACTTTCCCTTTAATACAATACTCATTACTCACTATTCTTCCTCCCTCAACTACACTACCTCGCTATCTTATGTAGTAGGTCGTCACATCATTCAATCATTGGCTTCAAATCTTCAAACTCTAGTTGCGAGTTACGAGATGAACCAATGTTCTTCGGAAAAAACTTGAGTCTCGAGTCTTGACCTTGACTCTTGACAGTGGACACCCTTTGAATCCACAATTCAAACCCAAGAATCCACATCTCCCCAAACTTAAATCCACAAATCAGGTACGAGATCAAGAATCGATGACATTTCATCAGATGCATCATGTATGAAAGCTCGTGAGGGAGGACCAACTCGGGCAATGAGACGAAACAAGAGAGGCAGAGGGAAAAAAATAAGAGTCAGAGTGTACGCTAATTGTGTTTTTCTTCTGAATCTAGAACGAACCTTATTAACGTCCAGGGAGTCAGGGACCTGAAGAACCCGGCTGGGCGATCAATGTATTACTAGGTAGTAGGTACCTAGGAATCTACCAATGTAGCTGGAGGGAAACATTTCAATGTTCATGCATGCATGAGGTCCCGGTCGGTTTTTGTACAGCTGTTTGATGCATGGCATAAAATTTACACTTAGGATTTTTAGTCTACCTATACCCGTGCTCGTATCCATCTATAATGATGTTAGGGCTTCTGAGGGTTCACTCTTCAGTCATTATGGGTATTGGGAGGAGACGAAAGAAAGATGGACGGTTCTTATGATTTTCTGGCTGTGATTTACAGAACATCATGTTCAATACCACCACGTATAGGCTACAACCCACATAGCACACACAAGCTATAAGCTATGAATAGAGAGTCAGTAACAGTTTCTGGGATGACGAGAAAGGGGAGTCCCGAAGGATCAAGGTACGAGAAAATATATTAATATCGATTCATGGTTGGTATCTTCCTTGTCATTTTAACATTCATGGATGATAAGTCAAGTTTGGATTCGTACATTTTTTCCCCAGGCTCATTTAAGAACGCGCCCATTTGGCTTGCCTTTAGAATAAGCCTTCAACCGCCCCGACGATACTTTTCAAGTCGTCACCCTGAATCCCGAAAAGCCTCCAAATCTGGGCATCTGGGGCGCAGGGTGACAGGTTACTTTACTTTTCTTGATGATTCCTGTCTAAATTAAGCCAATCATGCTATAGGTACATGTAGATATAAGAAACCCAAGCCTCGCTCCCTTGCTCCTCTGCTTCCTCTTAGTTTTATTGGGTGAATGAAGGGGAGTTGCCAGATAGTAATAAACGTATTCCAGTTACTAGGTAGCGATTAGCCTTGATCAATGTTCGAGAAGAGACCAAGATTTATCACGAATCACGATACCATAGTCCTCTACCCAGTAAAGCCTCACCCAACAATCCCAAATTTCTTCGTCTTTTTTCTCTAAGCGAACAACTCATCTACATACATCAATATATCAAATGCATATGCTTGCGGAGTGCATTCCTGTAGGTACGGTAGTTACATCACATCTCCAATCCGAATTGTAGTCTGACACGTAAAAAGGTAACAATGCATCAGCCAAAGAGTCGCATGCCATGCCGAAATATACCACAGTAGAAGCACAGGGACAAGGGCAATCTAATCCTCGTGGCAGTGTACAAAGTATGGCTGCATTGTGTATCACCACCACCTCATTATCAAAATTGCTTCCCTTGCACACACAATATTCGAATCAAAACACACCATGATACATCCGTGGCACAGTAAACCTTCACATTAGCAGATGCGTGATCTTCCAGAAGCTATCACGCTCCCAACCCAATTACCGTACGCAGTACACACTAGCTCTCTCCACGATCATCTCCCGTACTAATTTTGTGACCCAGCTGACCTCCCATTATCCAACAGCACGGATGAATCGATGAATCGAAGGCGTTGACGATCCCACAACCGCACGCTCGAAAATTGAAATGCAATGCAATGCATCCTCGAAGTTTGAACCCGCCACACGGGCTTCGGGCTAAACATGCTGACCTGACGAACCTGACTCCTGAGAAAGCCGAGAAGAGCGAGAAGGGATTTCCAAGATCCCACCGCTGTGGTCTGAGGAAATCCTTTTTCGCTTTTTCGTTTTCTTTCGGCGGGCTTCGAATTCGTTCAACCTCGCGCGTGCTGTGGTTTGTGGTTTGGTTGGTTGGTTTGTGTATGTGCCTATAGGGTGTAAGATTAGTTGACCCTGAACGACGAATGTATGTATTATGCACCATGTACTAATCCACCTACTACACAGCAAGCAGTACAAAGAATTAGAAGGAAGGAAGGTTCATCGAGTTATTAACTTTTGTGACGAGACTACAGACTACAGACTACATCTATATCTATATGTACATCTGCAATATATATACCCTATTAAAAATATTTGAACAATGATCTATCTATCCTCTCACATCGAGTAAACAAACACCAAACATCAAAATCATAAGATACACTACCGGTATAACTATAAACTACCTCTATAGACTCCGTATCTACTCGAGCACCACACGCTCAGAGTTTCTCGATTTCCCGTCCTTACTCTGTATCTACCTATGAAGGATGAAGTGAAGTACGGGTACACAGCTCCTCCTCAATCTATTACACTTTCCAGTCCCATCACCAATATTGACCAACATGATACCATGACGGCGTATGCTCCAAGGGCTCCAAGTATCAAACTCTATACCCGAGTCCTTGTTCCCATAAATTCCAATATAACCATAACATCACCGCCGTGCGCACCGTACCGATTCCGATATAATCCCCCACTCCCCAATCCCAATCGGTGAAATAAATGAAAAACAAACACCCAAAAATCAATAAAAACCCACCTCCCCCATTCAAAATCCCAAACTCAAACTCAAACCCCCCTCCCCCTCCCCAAATCCCAAAGCTCAGCAGCTCGAGAATCAAAACTCAATATGGAGTATTAGTTACATAGAACGCATAAAATATCTACCTACATCTTAGTAACAAAGTACCTAGGTACTCTGTACCGACCAGATCATAAAGTGCCCCCTTCCCTCTCCCGGAGCTTAATACTCGATTCCGGCCCACGCGAATTCTTGCCTCCACTTTAGGTGCAGGGTAATGTTGCCTTGTGAGCTTGTAATGTATCTGGTTGCTCTTTTCCTGTTTGGTCGTTTATCTCCGATGGGATTATTGTGTAGGGGAGGGGCTTGGCGAGGTTTGGGGGAAAGTTGGTGAAAGTTGTGTTTGGTGTAGGGAGGGAAGAGATGTGCATAGATACTCGGTGTATATAAGTGTGGTTGGTTTGCTCACACTTTTACTTGCTATCTATCTACAAAGTATGATAGAGCGCGAGAGAGTGTGTACGGAGTAACTTGGGCTTTTTGGAGGGAGGGGGAGTTTTGGAATCGGTAATTGGATAGGTCAATAGGTTGGTAGGTAGATTGGTAGGTGAGGTGGGGATATCTTCATTTTTTACTCGGGTACTTGGTAAACACAGAAGAATCCATTGTATTTGTGCGGGTGCTTATACTTGATACGAGAAAAATCACATCATCCCATTCAACATCACATCTTCACAAGATCAAATTCCAAATCATCAATCCACCCAAAGACAAACCCCAATCCCAATCATCACAAAATCAAAGACAAACCCATCCAAAAAAGTCCACCCCTCTCCCCAATGTCCAATTTCCAATGTCCAATCTCCAATCTCCAATCCACATACAATAAATACATGCATCCCTATATCCATCACCCCATCCCTATATCCCTATATCCCTATCCAGCAATTTGAACATTTTCTTCCTCCCTTGGTCTCTTCCTCCCTTTGTGATTCACTTCCCCATACGCAATATCTCGGAGATTATCTTCACACCGTTGAACTCACAGACATTCAATCATACATCATTTTGTAAATTGGACAGTACCGACTTTTTCCATCATTCGAATCGAGATTCGGTAGAGAGATTATAGTAATAGTAATAGTAATAGTAATAATAATAATAATAATAATAATAACTGGAGCAAAAAAACGTTGAAACTTTAAATTCAATTCAATATCAATCTTTTCAATTTCCATCAGGGATGGGGACGGACAGGGAATGATGTTTTTCGGGGGAGAGAAGTTTTGAGTTTGTATGTTTCGTCATTAGAGATAGTAAGTGAGTGAGTGAGTGTTACTTGTATATAATATATATTGGGAAAATTTGATAAAGGTTTGTGAGAGGAGATGGTAGGGGAGGAGAAGAGAAGAGAAGAGAAAGTTTGACATTTTGGGGTTGGGTTGAATATGTCATTTTTGGATGGGTGAGTTGATATGGATATTTGATGTTTAGATATTTTGACGTCGTGGATTTGACTTCGAATCGAGTTTTTGATGTGGTATAATATTTCATCATCAGAGACAGTGTCATATACATTGGGAAATTTGAGGAAAGTTTGAAGACAGTTTGATTCGTGGATCTTGGATCTTGGATCTTGGATGGAACTGTGATGTGATGGGTCGGTATGTCATTGTTCTTGACTTTGACGTTGATAGTTTGACGTGGATGACTTTACATCGCGTTCTACTTTTCTAGCTTGGTTGGCTTGGCCTGGCTGTTGGATGAAGTTGGTGCGATCGGCTCTTTTTTCTTCGCTCGTGTCAAATTTGTAGTGGTTATAGTGTAATCACGATATCGTTTAGTTGTAATATCTTCGTATTGGTTAAGTAACTCGGGATGTACTAGATAGAATCATGGAATTAAACTTCAACAGGAGGTTTTAGGTTGGCAGTTTGGGTAAGTATATCTTCTTTTACACAATGCACTGTCCCAATGGTAAGCGGCACAGTCATCATCAGCAAGCTTCTCGCCAATACTGATTCTTCGACTATCTTTGGACGACTTTACAATATGGTTCTAAGGTACTTGTAAGAACTAGTTGATGTTCTGTTCAATAGGAACATGATACCGCATGGTATTCTTAGGTTCCCACTGAGCTTTGAGTTTCTTCAATTTCTCCCATCTCCATGTCTCCCACCCATAGATCGCCTGTAGAGACTCATCGCCATCGGCATAGTTGACGTAGGCGTGGAGATGTTCTGGATCCTCACTTCCATCTAGCAAGTATTTCCGAAGCTTTTCACCAAATTCCTTTGCTACCGGGTCGATGTTCGAGTCAGGCGCATACATGACGTACGATGTAACCACGATATTATCATCTTGGTGCGGAAATGTCGTACTTGCTGCATCGATGGCTTTAACCGGTTGAGTCGAGTAGCCTTCGAGCAAGAAAAATGAACCAGCTATCTCTGGAACTTTGCGTAATGTTGAGTCGGTCTCGTTGTATACCTTTCTGACGCCCATCACATTGTATGATTTCAATCCGATGGGGTAGCGGAGAGATGTCATTCCGTAAGCGCATCCTGGACCATCTGCGTCTTGAAAGGTGACGACGGCAAGATCATGTAGGGATCCCTGACCCGTCTGTACACTTAGTGGTCCGATTTCATGGAATGGTTTGGCATATGTGTTGGCTATATCGGGAGAACCGTTGTTGATGATTCCGAACCACAGTACTGGCTACCAGATTGTGAGCTTTCAAATTCCCAAGTAAATTGCTCGGGGCAATGACGAACATGATCTGGATCAATCTCTGCAACTTTAATAATGTATCCCCAATGAACCAGCTCCGCTGGCTGATCTCGCAACAATCTATTCGTCTCCTCATAGAGAGCTTCAAGTTTATCCCCCGAATAAACAAAGATTTCATAAGACCACAGCGGAGCATGATCATCAGAAACACGATATTCCCACTCCACCACCAGCCCGAAATTATGTCCCGCGCCTCTAATGGCCCAAAACAAATCCGGATGAGACTTTTGAGATACAGTAACCAGTTCGCCAGGAGGAAGCAAGAGACGAGCAGAGATTACCTGGTCGGCCATGAGTCCGTATTGGCCTTGAAGCCAACCATGACCGCCTCCTAGAGTGGGCGCGGAGAATCCGACGAGCTCGCATATTCCGGTTACCGATTGGGATGTTAGAGTGTATTTTCTTGGTGGTTTGGAAAGGCTTGGCTCGGAAATGTGAATTCACCTGTTCGTTTTCTTAAACGCGTAAGAGCATCTATGACTTCTTTCGCATTTGCACCCCCGCCAATCATACCTGTCTGTCTGTCTTCTGCCAGTGTGATGTGGTTCGTCGAGCGAAAATCAATCTGGGTCGCATTTTTTGCTTGCCCGAGAGCATGGGTTGCACCGTGACCGCCGGCTCGCGCAATGTAGGGGATGGAATGCTGGTTGGCGTAGTGGACCTGTGGTTTGTGTTGGTAGATTGATTAGGTGGATGGGAAGTATATACGACGTATGTTATGTATATAGAGAGTTATGGTGGATGGGATTGAAATGAGGAGGAATACTCGTGACGTACGATTTTCTGAACGTCGGTCTCGTGGATTACTTGGATGATGAGGATGATGTGGGGACTAGAGTATTCTCGCCATCTGGCGAGGAGAGGGGGGAAGGAGAGATGAGTGGGGAGGAGAATGGTTGCGTGTGGGGAGAGGAGGGGAGTGAGGTCGGTTTGGACGGAGAGGGGGGTGGGTAGGATGGGATGAGATGGTGGGGAGTTGTTTGGTGGGGACGGAAGGTGGAAGTGAAGGTGGTGAGTTTGAGGATTGAAAGACTCGAAGGTTTGAAGATGGTGTGAACGGGATGGGGATGGAGATGAAGAAATGAAGGCCTTATAATAAGTTGTATCTCTGAAGCAGAACTAAATGTAAGGTTTTCTTGGGACAGAGAAATTCTCGGTGGCATATCTTGGATATCGCATTGTTATAACAATTGGTATATGCAAAATCGTAAATCGATAGAAACCAACTCACTTTCCCAACCGAATCAAAACCGCATAACTACCGAACAAACTTTCAGAGCCAATGTGTTGGAATTGGCGCAGTGTATCAGGGTTGATTCATATTCATGGTTTGTTCATGTATCTAACATTTAGTTTGAGCCCCTCGCATTCTTGCATAGTAATCTCACATAGCTAATGCTCACTGTTGGATTCCGCTGATCCAATCGCATGCGATGGGTGTTGTGGATTGTGATGGGGAAGTGTGAGGTTTTATTTGAGATGGGATTTGAATTTTTTGCTTCTGTTTTGGTGGGAGATGAGGATAGTTAGGTGGATTTTATTATGTATTTTGGATATTTGGAAAATAGGGAGGGAGATGTGAATATCTATGTAGATAGGTAGGTATGTAGGTAGGTACAGATAAATCTCTACGGAATTGTCATGAAATCTGTTGCTCGCTCAAGCGAAGGGCGCATTCGACGCCTTTTGATGCTATTGACACTAATTGTACTAGATAGATATTCGTGACATAGCGGGATTTGCAAAGGGATACAATACATATATATATAGGGAGTTGTTTCATAATACCGTAAATTATATAAGTTATGAATAATGATTTCGGTAACTTACATCAAATGATAATACACAATCTTCCATCTCTATCAACTATTCAATTCCATTCAAATTCCATCCTAACCGTCATCAAGGGAAAGAATTCCCAAACACACGAAAAACCAAAAAATGACAACTCTCACCCCAACCCCCAAAATCCGGCCATCCTCTTCCATTTCATGGGCACCTGTCTAAACTGGCGCTCCTCACTCCTCCCTCATCTTCCACCCCTCCTATCCCTCTCCCTCACCTCAAAATCCCCTCCAATTTCCTCCTCCAATGGCGTCAATCTTATTTCGACTCCAACAACCTCCGCATCCCCCATCACCTCCCCATCGAACACATCAATCTTACTCATCTCTCCAACCTAGAAACTCCTTTCCTCACGCCCCTCTATCCCCCGGTCTCCCTCCTTTACTCCCCATGTCAAAAAATCCTTCATCCAGGCATGGCATCATCAAACTCCCTGGGCTGGTGTACTTCCGCTCTGGTATCACTTTCCGAGGGGGGAGAATATGAACTTTTTATCCATGCAAACGGGTCTACGCGGTTACAACTTGATTTAGTGAAAGCGGCAGGGTCGAAAAGAGTCTTTGAAATGTTGTTTTCGAGTCAGTTGGTGGGGGTTTATGAACTGGGGAGAGAGAGTTATGAGTGGGTGATGGCGGTGTTGGGGTTGCAGCCCGGGGAATGTGTGGTGGTGGCGGCGCATACGGGGGATTTGAGGGGAGCGAGGAGGGTGGGGATGAGAACGATTTATGTGAGGTTAGTGGAGTGGTTTCGTTTGTATTAGGTTTTTTGTTAGGGGAGGGAAAGGATTTTGAGGGTTGAGATGTTGAGATGTTGTTTGCGGACTTTTGATTATGGGTAGGAGGTGGACGGATGATATTAGTGAGGATCAGCAGGTTATGAAAAGAGAAAATGATGCGTATTTGGAGGATATGGAGGATTTGGAAAGGGTAATTGGGGAGTTATAGGGCAGAGAAAGAGAAGAAGGGAAGAATAAGTGCGGTCTATCTTCGTTGGGAAGTTACTATAATACATAGAGCCAAGACACTTGATTGTCTGGGAACGCGAGGAGAGAAAAGGAGAAACAAGCTCAATCAATCGACTTGAAGTTTTCCCAATATCCTAACCCAATGAGTGGTTTGGACTAGAATGTTAGGGGGATTCCACAAAATTTCAGGGGAGACTTTGAGTTTTCGAATTATAGCCCCCCGTCAACAGATTTAGGAAGTGAAAGCTTATAGAAAACTTTTGAGTCTTCTACCGGTGAGTCTTTTTCATAATATATCGAGATCATGCAATCTTGCATCTTCTATCCCCCTCATATTGCAACCCCAAATCGAAAATTCTTGGGCTGAGCGAGCACTATAGTAATGCGCGCAGAACGTGTGATTGTCAAATCTATCTCCCTTGATTTTTCTTCCTCCTTGCTACTTTGGATTGGTACTATGATTGTACTGTTTTAGCTTTTCATACTGGCTAAATATTCAACACCATGAAAATGACCGCATAATACACCTTCATAATCATGATCACGATCGTTACCATTCATATCACCTAAGCCCTCAGCTCTATGTGACACCAGATCAGGTACGGTTTCTGTAGCATTTCATATAGACAGTATCTAGAAAGAATATATGATGTGGTATGATACGGTAGCTATAGCGTTAAAATTCGATCTCAAGTCAGCATTAGGATGAAAGGTAAATAGCCTTTTCGAAATCTCCTCGACGCGAAAAGAAGCTCATAAGCTCCGTTGGTATCACTCGGTAGGTAAATCGATAACGGATACCTGAAGCTGCTACGCTTGAGTACGCCAGCCATTATCTATTCATAATCCAAAGTAATGAATCACAAGTGAAAGACCATGAGAAACTCTACTTTCTCTTACATTACTTATTACTCACCATGTACCGCAGAGACTCACTAGGTTTGCACCACGCTATCGACAGGGAAACTGATAGATACTATGCTATGCTATAGTATGAGAAGTGAGAAAATATAGTTGCTGAACGTATAGTTGTAGAAAGTGCCAGATATATTGCACATTGATATCAATGTAATCTCTATGCCTTTACGAATCTTGAAGGAAATGCTCATGAATTTGTATCTCTATATATTACAACGAAACAGTAGAGGTCTTCAAAACCAATCATCTTCATGATTCCTCTCCTCTATATTCAAGTTTTGATTTAATGATATGAAAAGTTCAATTTGAAGCTTGAAATCTGAAATCTGAAATCTGAAATCTAGAGCTGGAGCTAGAGTTTGAATTAGGCCTCCTCTTCTCTTGTATTAAGTCAACTACCCCACTTTCCGACCACCCCCTGTTTCCGACCACCTAAAAATTCATATTATCTACACTTAAAACTTTAATAACTCAATAACTATTGAACTTCAATGAAATCGCCTGTAGAATCACTTTCTATAGCACTAGAGCTATCATCTACCTCATCTTCACGATCTCCAGCTTCAATTTGTGTACGCCTTATAGCTCTAATCCCTGCGAACTTCGAATTTGGAGATACCACAACCTTTCGCCTTTTTCTAGGTAATGCTTCATCTAATTGATATTCTAGCTTTCTAATCTTATTCTCTGCCTCTAAGAGTTCATAATCCTTAGCATCGAATCCTTTTATAATCTTGCGAAATAGTAATCTTCGTGTTGGCAAATCGATCTCCTTCTCTTGAATCATTATATCTCTATATTTTCTGATATCGGCTCCTTTTTGAGGGGTTTTCCATTGAATAAACGATGAATATATATTCCATTGAAGAATAGGATCATCATCAGATTCAGGATTAAGTGATAAAACCTCTCTATTGCTATTTTCAAGCAAAAGTCGACTCATAAGAGGTTTAGCCATATTTTTGGGCCAAAGACCACTAGCTTGCCACCCAGACTTGATATTTTGAATAGTTAAACCTTCTATTCTAGCCTTCTGATAGCAAGAAAGGAAATTGCGCTTTCCAATTGGTGAGGAATCGGATAATAGACTTAATTTATTAAGTTCGATTCGATATGCACTTTTTAGGGGTGAGAACACAGATAAATCGAGTGGTTGTAGTACGTGTGACGTATGTGGTGGGAGAAGTAAGAGATATATGTTGTTATTAAAGCATTCTAACATAAATGCTGTAGTTTCATGGCTTCCGTGTCCGTCCAAAATGAGGAGTCTTGAATTTTCCGGCTGAATAGGGGTAGTTTGAGGGATATAGATCTTTTTCAGCCATTCTAAAGCTGTAGCATCTGTAGTCCATCCATTTTCTGTAGCGGTAAAGTTCCAACCCTTGAATAGAGTCAAATCTGTTGGAAACCATTGTTGTTGAACTGATTTTCCCTTATATATTACAAGGGGAGTAATGCTTTTTCCATTGGCTGAAATGCATTCTATAAAAGAGGTCCAAATTCGAGATCCAGGTTGCTTTTTTTGAATAAATCTTCGATCAGTGCTTCCTACTACTAGTCCATTAAGACCCTGACCCTCCATTATACCTGCTTCATCCATATTCCATCTGTTGGCCGGCTTAATAGCCTTGATTTCAGGGATTGCGAGGTTCCGGAACCACTTCTTAATAATATCAGATGTAGCACCTGAAACTCGTGCAGAATCGATTTGATGTTGCTTCTTAGTTCCAATATTAGGATGCCTTCGAAAAAAGCTATGTATCCATTTCTTTCCAAGTGAGGGATCCTCCCCTCGTACAATAAGGAGGTGCTCTGCCATCTCTCTGATTTGACGATGTGTAGGGCTAGTACCAAGAGCTTCCTGTACTAATATCCATTCTGCTAGTCGATTCTCCTGAATTGGAGATAACTTTTGAAGTATTTGGGCGCCTTTTTGATGCGAAACTCCACCACATATTCGATCGTGAAGTGTGGTACGTGGAACACCATAATCCAAGCTAGCTCTTCGTATGCTTGCTCCATTTGTAATCGCTCTAAGAGCCTCTGCGATATCTTCTTCAGTATATCTATTCTTCATATCACAATTATAATAATATCAAAATTTCAAATCAATTGATTAAAGCATTGTTGAGTTATTCAAAGTATAAATTTTATAATTACTCAAAGCGGTGTGGTTTTTGAGGTGGTCGAAAAGAGGGGGTGGTCGGAAAGTGGGGTAGTTGACTTATCTACCCCCTCTTAAGCGAACGATTATATTATATCATCTCATCCCATCCCATCTTATATCACATAAAACAGTATCAACACACCATCCCCAATTATCATCTATCCATTATCTATTCATAAACCAATCAACCATTATTCATTACCTAAGCTCCTATATAAACGAATGGAAAATAATATTCAAAGCTTAAAAACAACAAGTCTCCCCACTACATACAACAGCTCAATATCTCAAAATCATGATATAGATTCGCCTGAGACCGTCCTCAAAAGTATCATTCCGCATCTTAGCATCAATGTCATAACGTAGAACTCCTTCGGGACCGTCAGGAATTCGAATTTAAATTTAAATTCAAATCCAAATTTACAATATAGTATCCCATTCCATCTCAGCAGACCGCTATACAAACCCTTCCCTCTATTCATCATTTCTTAAGATAAATCATAAGTTTGAATATATACAAGGAATCTCTCTCCCTCCCTCTCTCTCTCCCTCAAAAACTCAACTCATACAATCCCATCCCCATCCCCATCCCTATCCCCATCCTCTATCTATCCATCCCCCAACCCCTCGATCCCGAAAATTAAACGAATAGATCTCGAAGCAAACAAGACTGCAGACCAGCGCGTGTGCGCCCCATTTTTCCTGAAATCTTTTTTGGTAGAGGCTCAGATGTATGCATGAGTGGATTTGGTCGATTTGGTGGACTGGAGAATCGAGATCGTGTGCTGGGTATGGAGTGCTTGATTTGTGGTGGATTTAGATGGGGGTTTGGATGGGGATTTGGATGGGGCTTGGTTTGGTTGACTAAGGTAGTGGTTCTGATTCCGATTCTTGGCGGGAGAATCACGGGGAAGGGGGTGGGTGGGTGGTGATTTGGTGATGGGGAGGGAGATTGTGAGTTGGGAGGGGGGAGTTTGATGATGATGGTTATGGGTACGTAGACAGATTTATCTGTGAAAGGGAAGATGTGTGTGATGTTCTTGGGACGGTTGGAGATTCAGAAGATGAAAATGAAATTGAAAATGAAAAGATTCATTTGCACAGGTATGATCAAAAAAGACGTTAGCCGTTCATTCAATAGAATAAATAGAACATTCAACATAGCATGAAGAAATTGAATTTGGATATTCGCTTAAAAAAAACTAAATAAGAATCATAATTTTCTTCCTCTCCTCCCCTTTTTGTCCCCAGTTGCCATTTCCCCCCCCTCTCGTTACAATTTCATAACCATCTCATCCCTCATTATTTTCCTCTATCTAAAACTCATCATTGAGGACGTAAAGAGGCATAATATTCTCCCACATACTATCAGTCAACAGAGTTTTGTTTGATCCATCAAAGTTCATCGAGATGATTTGTCCGCGAGGCTGGAATGCATTATCGTAAAGCGGACTCTCCTCTCTGAAACCATACATTCCACTGCTGTACAAAATTCTTCCATCAGCGGACCAAACGGCATGGGCATCATTGGCTCCACCGGTTGTGAGTTGTGTAAGGCTAGTTCCGTTAGGGAAGATAGTGTAAACGTCAAAGGAATCGGTAGCTGTAAGATCATCCCAGTTGATATGGTTGCGGCGGGTGAAGACGATGCGTTCTCCATATGGAGACCAACCAGGAGTGTTGTCCCAGGTATCGGTGAGGTTTGTGACAGTGCCATCAGCCAGATCCAGAATGCGGAGACCGATGCAGTACATAGGAGCAGGGCCACACTCTCTGTAAACGATCTTGGTACCATCGGGTGAGTAAGAAGGGAATCCTGCATTGGAAACACCGGCTTCTCCGAAAGTCAATTGTTCGTAGTAAGAACCGTTAGCTGTTACGCGATAAATCCAACCGGGCTGACTTGATCTTTCGAAAAACCAGCCACCAAGTCCAAAGGTAATCCATTCACCATCGGAAGTCCAAGAAGGTTGGAATGCACCTGCAAGACCAGAGGCAGTGCCAGAGGCTGAGGTTGAGTTTATGGAGAAGACGTCGAAGACCAAATCGAGATCGGTACCGTCTGGGTTCATGGTGACAATAGATGAGTTACCGAGTTGTTTTTGAGTGATGACTAACTTGTTTTGTTTGGAAAGCATGGGGAAGACGTCGGTGAAGCGGTATTCGTAATCGCCGTCCCAACTGTACAAGGGTTTCTCCATTGGAAGGACGGGGTCAAACTCGGGCTTTTCATAGATGGCCAGGGTTCCGTCTGGGGACCAGGCAGGGTTGCGCATATCGCCTAGGATGGTAGTGCAGTTCGCGGCGCCGGTACCGTTGTAGTTGGTGCCAATGTTATCGTCAGTTGAACCCTTGGTATTGAAGCCAACAACATCGGCGGTCACGAACTGGCCATTGACTTTGCATCCAACTCCAGAAGTATGATAAACATAATCGAGTCCGGTAGCAACATCTACGGATGCGATTTGAGTCTCTGCACTGTCGACAGAAGTCACGTGGGCGTTGTAGGTGTTCTCTCTGGTCATCTCATAGAAGATAATTTAGGATCTGTCTAGGCTCCATTTTGGCGATCCAAGAGAGTAACCAGCTTTGGTGACAACTTGGGAGAAGTCGGATCCGTTTGGTCGGATCTTGTAAATGGAAAGTTCCTGGGTGTGTTCCCAACTGGTACCGTTGCTATGTCCGGTCCAGGCGGTATTACGATCGGAGGAGAAAGCAATCCATTCTCCATCAGGTGAGAAAGAAGGACGGAAATGACCATCTGGGAGGGCATTATCACCAGCTGTGGTGGGTGTGTTGGTGAGGTTAAAGGCAACTCCTGTAGTGAGATCCTTAACCCAGAAATTTGCCGTGAAGTTTCCTTGGGTGGATACAAAAGCAAGCGTTGTTCCATTAGACGAAAGTACACCTGCATCTTTGAAAGATGGTGTTTCAACCAAAGATTCCAATCCGGTACCATCAATCTTGACTCTGTAGATATCCGACTGTCCATCTCCGTTACGTTCAGTGGTGAAGATAACGTATTTTCCATCGGGACTGAAATTTCCGTGATAATCGTAAGAAGAGCTACTCCCGAGTAGTGTACGTTCGTTGCTTCCATCTGCATTGGCGATATATAGGATAGATACGGAAGGAGCGATTCTGTTCATGAACATAACACCCTTTTTGCCCGGAGCTGCACCACTGTCAGCACGAGAGAAATGCTCTCTTGGAGTATCAGAGACACTTCGTCCTGCATAAGGACAAGCGCACCTCTTCTCTTGAGCATCATCATATGGAAAAAACACCAGCAATGGCCTGGCCAATGACCATACCAAGGGCAGAAGCTGTAGAGAAAGGCATCTTCCTTACTTGTACTTGACAAAAGCTATGAAAAGTTGATAGTTAAAGAAGGGGATGAGGAAAGGAAGTTCTCCGAGGAGATAAGATCGACTTTATATACCTATCTCAAAGCACGAATACTAATCCACTGTGCATTGTAGGTGTCTTGGCTTTCTTCAAATTATCCAAGCAAAATGTCAGGCGCAGATATTAATACTTCAGACCTGGTTCATTGATGAAATGAAGAGTCCATGGAACGGGCAGAGTATCCACTGCGGGTGTGGTCTCCTCAATAGGCAGTCACAGATTGGGGATAAATGGTTTATTTGATCAATGATTTGATCATCTGATGAAAGAATTGTGGTCAGGATGGACGACTAAGCCATATATTGGTATGAACACTTCTACTTCATCCCATGTAACAGATACAATCGAATGAAGGATCGGGTTATGAATCTATCGAACATCCGAAGATACACGCAGTCTGTAAGGCACAGAGCCAGTGAGATGTTTGTGATAAGACCCTTCAAGAAAATATTAACATCTCTGTTGGCGGAGAAGCGGATGAAAACCCATCGGCAGCTAGTCAAAAGTAGCAAAGCTAGGATTCGCGGCTCCAGGTCCCTCAAGGGTGCCAATTTAATGGACGCAATCAAGAAAGATCAGCAGTTGGAGTTAAAAATTATCAGTGAACGACCTCGGGACCGAAGTCAACTCCTGGTAGATTCCCGTGTATATGACCCACTTTATAGAATCCTCAAGCTCATGTCAATGTCCTATATAGAAGGTGACACTGCAGGTTCATACTGCAACAAACCGTTCAAGATCTAGAACTCGTATCTAGGTTTTGTTTCTGATATCGATATCATATGTATGATACAAGCATGTAAGAAACTCACCGGTGTACCACGACCGTGTCTTGTAGATTGAATACGGATTAGCAAGCATAAATCACTTACCAGATATAGTGATATGCCGCTCGCTGCCTACACAATTTGAAGCTTGCATTTAGATGACGGAAGCGTGTATCCTATGGTTAAAGCATTAGACGTGTTGAAAGATTCGAAATATGGGCTCAAAGAAAGCTCCAACAATCTTAGATATCTTGGCACGTTAAAATAAAGTTAAAGGAGAGAAGACATTAGCGAACTATTCGTAAGAGGTGGGACCGGGAGACGTAAAGCTCCGAATTATCTCAATGTTTCGAAAAATATAATATCATTGGGGTGGAAACTTTGAATATTGCTGAATGGTCTCGGGACCGAAAGGAGGAGAACATTGATATTGTGATAACGTCTGACGTTGCCATAAAAGGATGGGTAATACATGATGCGTAATAGATAATGTGGCAGTTCACCGTCAACAGCACGAGCAGCGTTACATTCGAGTTGACATTTTCTCTTGGTTTAGAAATACCCGACAACTGCAGAAATCTACCTACCTGGGTACAGAGATCTATCCATGTCTTTCATCGAGGTATTCAGTACTGCACAAAGCACATAAGAAAATTCGATGTTGTGTCTGAGGCATCAATAATTTAGCGATGACACGTGATTTTGTTTCTGTACTCTCAGTACTTCAAGATGGATGTGGGGTAATCTCGGAGTTCAGAGAAATTCAAATCGAACAAGCTTCAGGGCCCAGCAAGGTTATACAAAGTAAATACTCGGGACCGCGTGCTTGTCATTTGGGTGATTACATGCCAATATCATGGACTACCGATAAAACAACAGAATAGGCAATGAAACGATGTCTCGGTAGGTTGAACCTTAAAGAAGCATATGAAGATTTGATTTCATTCAAGACCGCTCGGAATAGAAACATTGTAAATAGCTACTCAGATGACTACAACTGGAGACGGCAAAGGAGAGATGAACCGACAGATAAAGCAGATGAATATACAACACATTCTTCGGTACATAGAACTATATCAGTGAAGGGTGTAGACCCAAGTATAAGAGGAAGGTACTAAAATTCATTCTTCTCATCCAAATCGGCTCGCTTCTTCACAATAAGACTTTAAAGGAGAGCAACAATATGCAAGTATCGGAAATTCGAAGGCCAAGAAAGAAAGAAAGACGAGGTGCTGCATATTGAAATCCTAGGAAAAAAGCTAGAAGGATTGACGATGAAGAAAGTCTGGGGGAAACACGGGGATTCTGTTGATCGGCTTACGATAAATACAAATAAATACATATATGCAGGGGGTTCTCTGCACGTAAGGGAGAGAAATGAGGAAGGACACCCTTTTCTGTTTGAGTGACAGTGGCGGCGAAGGATCAGATACGTTATACAAACCAATGTAGATGATTTGTCTATGCTGGCGGGCTTGCTGGCTGACTGAAGGCTGATGTTTCCGCTGATATTTATTCTTGGTTGAGGTAGCTGTGGTTAGACCCTGATAACTTTGTCCTGGGGCTGAGGGTTTGGGATACACAGAGATGACTACCTAGTAGTGAGCATGTCTTTTTGTCTACACAGCTTTGAGAGCGAACTAGGTATCAATGAAACTCTGATGTCCATTGTATATATACAGTAGGAACGAGAATATTGAACAGTCGTGAAAATGTGCCGACTTTAGCATTGAAAATATCTTCATTCTATCATCCTACCGAAAAGGGTGGATGGCTCATTACCATACATATTAACTCCCTGCAGCAATCATCTCGCCTCAATTTTGACCCCCTCTCGAGCCCCTTCTACTGTTATCTAGAATTTTCATTAGACCTTACTAAGAAGTTTCCGTATCGAAAATTCTAATACCATACCTAGCATTCTTTCATATTGGATACGTTGGACAGCCTACTTGACATGTAACTAGAAGAGTTTTCACGCAAGAAGAAAAAAACAATAATGAGCCTCCGACTAAATTTCGCCGTACAGTGCCTACCTATCGAGTCATGATTCGTTCAGTTCACTCCGTACGTGTCACAAGATGGTTGAGTTGGATCTGGCCGGATTGAATTGGGTCAAACCGATTCGGTATGTAGATCGATCTAATAATGTGTTGGTTGTATGAACTATCCAATGCATGAAGGTCGTTGAAGAAAAGGGACCTGTTAGGTTGCTGGTACTGAGGTCGTAGATGTATTCAATTCACTGTAGAGGCTTGGTACCATACTTGTTGTACGTGAGAGGTTCAGACAATTCATTGTAACGATGTGATATTACCTAGTAATACTCACTTACACTGATGATATATCGCATGAGAAAGAATCACACAATTCACCATTGATTGTGTGTGTGTGAGATGTATACATACAATTCTCTCTTTCATGGTGGCAAGCCCCCAAACCCCCAAGCTCGCTGCGCTCGAAATTGTTTGTAGAATATCATTGGTGTATATGGATAGATTTACACATGTACAGACATACAACTAAACATATGTTTTCAAAATAAAAAATCTAAATTCACATGTGCTTATTCAGCAATATAATATCAACCAACAAGATTCAATTACCGCCACACACTTTCTTACGCCACTCAATTGCCTCTCTGCTTCTCACACCGAAAAAGTAAGCTAAGGAATTAAGCGAGAGAAAACCCTTGCAATGATTTTTTATCAGTAATGCCACTTCAGAAAATTAATAAGGGTCCAAAAGTCTTTCTCCCTCTTAGATAAATACATCCTCTGTCTTCTTTGTGTTCTCCGACATATCAAGTTGAGACAAACAAAAAGGACTGGAAAAACAAGTCTTTTCTCAATAACTCAATATAGAAAGGAATAGAAAAATAGAGGGTTTCTTTATCGAAATCTTTCTCTCTCTCTCTCTCTCTCTCTTCTCCGCCACTTTTGCCCACATTATCTGAATTTCTTGCCGAATCATATATCAAGATTACAATATCTTCTCCACTCTTCAACGCACCGATTACTACGGGTAGTTTCGCGCTAAGCAAAAATTTCATTCCCACAAATCCTTATCGACATCTTTCCTCCCCCCTCTTCTTCTCTTCTTTTGCAATGCCTTCTATCGAAACACCATCGAACCCAACAACAACAGGAAAGATGGCTGAAAACAAGAACTCGATCAAGGTCTTAGATGACTTAATGTCGAAGTTGTCTGTTTCGAAAGAGCAGACTGACATTAACGCTGCCACTCACAACCTCGCCATTTTCATTAATGGTAACATCGAGGAGAATGATGCCCCCACCAAGTATGTATTTCCGACTTCAACATTCAAATTTTCATCAAAGAGGAGAGAGGGAATGGAGAGAGTTGAATATTTGTCAGAGACTTCACACTCCAGACGTTCTTTCATTCATCTTTTCATATTCATATGCAATCTTACGGTCGCACCTGAAGTCTTTTTTCTTCAAATTTTCCTCATTCTCAGTTTTACTAACAATGTGTCCTTTGCAGAACTGTCGAGGCTTTGAAGAAGCAATTGGCAAACAAGAAGGATGCAAATGTCAGAGAACGCGCTCTCAATGCCATCCAGGCTATTGCTGAGCATTCTGAAGTCTCTGCTGCCGTCGAGCCTTACCTCATCGTCCTCCTCGGTCCCGTCCTCAACTCCGTTGGTGACAAGATGGTCCCAGTCAAGAACGCCGCACAAGCAGCTGCCTTGGCCATCGTCAAGGCTGTCAACCCAAATGCTGTCAAGGCGATCCTTCCACCTATCATCAAATCCATCCTCGAAGCACAAAAATGGCCCGAAAAGATGACCGGTCTTGACTGTATCGAGGCTCTCGTCGAGTCAGCACCAACTCAACTGGCTCTTAGAGTTCCAGATCTTATCCCAGTCGTTTCCGAATCGATGTGGGATACCAAGCCAGAAGTTAAGAAGAGAGCATACAGCATCATGGAGAAGGTCTGCGGACTTATTGTCAACAAAGATATCGAACGTTTCATTCCAGAATTGATCAAGTGTATCGCCAAGCCAGAAAACGTCCCAGAGACTGTTCACTTGCTCGGTGCTACCACTTTCGTCACCGACGTTCACGAGCCAACCTTGGCTATCATGGTTCCTCTTTTGGATCGTGGTCTCAACGAGCGTGAGACTGCCATCAAGAGAAAGTCCGCTGTCATCATTGACAACATGTGCAAGTTGGTCGAGGACCCCAACATTGTCGCTGCTTTCTTGCCAAAGTTGATGCCAGGTCTCATCAAGAACTACGAGAACTTGGCTGATCCTGAGGCCCGTGAAAAAACCAAGCAAGGTCTCGACACCATCAAGCGTGTCGGTGCTGTAGGCGCTGATGGAAAGATCCCAGAGCCATCAAACGCTGGCCAAGTCTCCACCGTCGAGGCCATCCTGAAGGATATCCTCAGCTCCAACAAGAATGCTCTTAAATTTGAGCCAATCATCACGTATATCGCCGCTATCGCTGGTCAACTTATCGATGAGAAGGATGCCGATTCCCACAGCTGGACTTCCAACCTCAAGCCATTCGTTGTCGCAATCACCGGCGAGAAGGACGCCCAATCAGTTGTCGACAACCTCCGCAAGCGTGCCTCTCCAGGTGCCGAGGCTGAGGACGCCGAAGAAGCTGATGATGAGGAGGGTGAGGATCTCTGCAACTGTACCTTCAACTTGGCATACGGTGCTAAGATTCTTCTCAACCAAACTCATCTCCGTCTCAAGCGTGGTCAACGATATGGTCTTTGCGGTCCTAACGGTTCCGGGAAGTCCACTCTCATGCGTGCCATCAACAACGAGCAAGTTGAGGGTTTCCCAAAGAAGAGTGAAGTTAAGACTGTGTTCGTTGAGCACGATCTCGATTCCGCTGATACTGAGCAAACTACCATTGCCTGGACTATGAAGAAGCTTAAAGAGGTCGGTGTCGAAACTTCCCAAGAAGAAGTCGAGAAGCAATTGTCAGAGTTCGGTTTCACCCCAGAGATGACCAACAACTTGATCACCGCTCTCTCCGGTGGATGGAAGATGAAGTTGGCTCTTTGCCGTGCTGTTTTCGAGGCTCCAGATATTCTCCTTTTAGATGAGCCCACTAACCATTTGGACGTCAAGAACGTCAAGTGGCTCGAAGATTACCTCCAAAACTCTCCATGTACCTCCATCATCGTTTCCCACGATTCCGCTTTCTTGGACAACGTCTGTCAACACATCATCCACTACGAGCGATTCAAGCTCAAGAGATACCGTGGTAACTTGAAGGAGTTCGTCAAGAAGTGCCCACAAGCCAAGTCTTACTACGAGCTTGGTGCTTCCGAGATGGAATTCAAGTTCCCTGAGCCAGGTTTCCTCGAGGGTGTCAAGACTAAGGCTAAGGCTATTGTTCGTGTCAGCAAGATGTCCTTCCAATATGAGGGTACACCCAAGCCACAAATTTCCGATATTTCGTTCCAGTGTTCTCTTGGTTCCCGTATTGCCGTCATTGGTCCTAACGGAGCTGGAAAATCTACTCTTATCAACGTCCTCACTGGTGAACTTATCCCAACTGTTGGTGAGGTCTACACCCACGAGAACATCCGTATCGCCTATATCAAACAACACGCTTTCGCCCATATCGATCATCATCTCGAGAAGACTCCATCTGAATACATTCAATGGCGTTTCCAAACTGGTGAAGATCGTGAAACTATGGACAGAGCCAACAAGATCGTCACTGATGAGGATGAGAAGGCTATGGACAAGATTTACAAGATTGAAGGTACTCAACGTCGTGTTATAGGCATCCACTCCCGTCGTAAGTTCAAGAACTCTTATGAGTATGAATGTTCGTTCGCTCTCGGAGAGAACGTTGGCATGAAGAACGAGAGATGGGTTCCTATGATGACTGCAGACAACGCTTGGATCCCACGTACTGAGATCTTGGCTTCCCATCAAAAGATGGTTGCCGAGGTTGATCAAAAGGAGGCTCTTGCCAGTGGTCAATTCAGACCTTTGGTTAGAAAGGAGATCGAACAGCACTGCGCCAACTTTGGTTTGGATGCTGAGTTGGTTTCTCACTCCCGTATGTTGGGTCTTTCTGGAGGTCAACGTGTCAAGGTCGTTCTTGCTGCTTGCTCATGGCAACGTCCTCATTTGATCGTCCTTGACGAACCTACCAACTACTTGGACCGTGACTCTCTCGGTGCCTTGTCCAAGGCTCTTAAGAGCTTCGAGGGTGGTGTTATCATCATTACTCACAGTGCTGAGTTCACCAAGAACATCACTGAGGAAGTTTGGGCTGTATTGGACGGAAAGATGGTTGCATCCGGACATAATTGGGTACAAGGTCAAGGATCTGGACCTCGCCTTAAGGGAGATGACGCCGAAGAAGAAGAAAAATTCGATGCTGTAAGTTGAAACCACCTCGCTAAATTTGAAGAAACCCCCCCCCCATATGCATTATATAATCATTACATAATCACTAACAAATATTTAGATGGGTAACAAGATTGTCTCCACCAAGAAGAAGGCCAAGCTCTCTTCTGCTGAACTCCGTAAGAAGAAGAAGGACCGCATGGCCCGCCGCAAGAGAGGAGAGGAAGTCTTCAGTGATGAGGATGAATAAATGTTTACGCCATAGATGATTGATGGTGGTTGGTGTTTGTGGATAGACGAAATATTTCAAATGGATGGGCAAGACAAGGAAACTCGGGTCAAAAAGAATTTCAAGTTTTTTTGTTTTTACTTTTCACTTATGGTTTGGCACTTTAATTGGTCGTCATCATTAGTGTATGGTCTCTGGCGTTTATTCGTTTTTACCTCGACTACGAATCTCTTTTTTTACGCAACTGAAATTATGAGTTTCAGTTTAAGACAAAATTTTATTAGTTATCATGTATGTACCGCATATTAGAAGATAGATCGGAAATAGATACTTCGAGATGCACATTCCTGCCATGGTTTGATGATTGGTGATTTCAGGACTTGTGATTACCTAGTAGTGTATGTGTAAACTTCGAACCTGCTCTTGTTCACTTCCAACCATATCCCAGTGTGTTTTTAAAGGACAAGTCAGCACGAGATACCTTGTGGCTCATTCTTACATAACCTTAACACAACCCGAATAAGGTTACAGTGTAGCATCTCAATCACATCTCAATTACATAAGAATGGGATTGTAAAAGAACGAATGATGGAAAGCAGATACAAGAGAGAGGAGAAGATAGGGAAACTGGTGTGCGTTTGAAAACAACGTGTACAATGCACGCCAGGATTGCATGCGGATCGCTCTTCATGATCAAGTTTACGTAGATAATTTTCGAATAATTTTTGATGGAATCTGTCGAGGTGATAATTTGGGACCTGAGTATGTTTGAATGATTCGAAAGCGTTGAATGTTCCACATGGTTTGTGATGAATGATTACAAAGCGTTCAATATCTCATATGATCTGTATGATTCGAATATTTTGGGTGATTGGGAAGCGTCCAATGTCCTGGACATTTTCAATGATTCAGTTGCTTTTGGATGATTTTGAAGCTTTCAATGTTCTATATATTTTGAATGATTTTGAAACTTTTAAAATTCTAAATACTCTGAATGATTGAAATGCTTTCAATTTTTTATATCGTTTGAATAATTCAACTGTGTTCAATATTCTAGATGGTTCAATTGTTCAACTGCTTTGAATTGTTCTAGGATTTACAAAATTCGAAACATTTTGGATGATTTTCAAGTCTTCAATGCTTGAATAATTGAAATGATTTGGATGATTTGAATGATTAAAGTAATTAAGGAGCTTATAATGATTGAAATGCTTTAAATATTTGAATTTAAGTATATTTGACTAATTCGATCTTCATCATGCAGATTATCATCAATGATCCGAGGGGAATTCGAGTTCATTTCTCCTCTTCTATTCCCTATTCCTCCAAAGCAAAAACGTCACATCCACTCCTATCTTCCCTCCTCATTTCCCTTCCCCTTCAAACCTCCTCCCTCGCAAACTGCGCATAATACACCTCCCTCGCCTCCCCCGGCGCCCCCTCAAGCCGTATCGCATCTTCCACCTGTTCCATCTGCAATGCGAGGAAATTGATTTCTCTTTCTCTTTCTCTTTCTCTTTCTCTTTCTCTTTCTCTTTCTCTTTCTCTTTCTCTTTCTCTTTCTCTTTCTCTTTCTCTTTCTCTTTCTCTTTCTCTTTCTCTTTCTCTTTCTCTTTCTCTTTCTCTTTTCTTCATCATCGCTTTCTCGTCATTCTTTTTGTTTTTGTTATCGGTTTTGTTTCTATTTTCCTGCTGCTGCAGGAGAAGGTTTGAAAATAGTTGGATACCAGATGGTAGGGGAAAATCATCAGGATTACGAGTCGAGGCGCGCAGAGAGAGGATGGCGCTGATGTATTGGGTGGGTGTGAGGGGAGAGAAGAGGGGAAGGGGGAGGAGGTGTGGGGGTGGGGGCAGTGGGTATTCCTGAGTTTGAGATGAGGTCTGTGTTGGAGGTGGAGTTAGAGTCGGGGTTGGGATTGCTCATATACTGCGATGGATCTGGAGACTCGGAGTTGAGCAAGTATCGGATGCGAGAATGAGGATGAGGATGAGGAGGTCCATTTCTGCGCAAGCGAATTTTTCTTGCTTGTCTGGGAGGATTGAAGGTGTAGTCGTTGCGGGGTTTGCGAGTATGATATCTCCTCTCTTGGTCCCTCTGGTTATTCCTTTGGGTCTGGGATTCAGAGATGGAGTTTTGATATTGTAGTTCTTGGGTTTCCAGTTCTCTCTGTTCTGACGCAAGAAGAGGAATTTTCTCGAATGTGTTTGTGTCGCTGAGATTTCTATCTTTCAGCTTGGCGAGAAGAGTAGGCGATGTGATGACGCGGAGATCCGGGAGTCCGCGACGGCGTTGGCGGAGGGAGTGAGGGGATATTGAGTTCGGGATTGGGTTTGAGGAGGGGAAGTGGTGGTGCTGGATGTTGGAGTGGGGATTTGAGGGGGTTGGTGGGTAAGTAAGGTGGTCGTTTTCTGGGAGATGGAGATGCGAGGATGTATTGTGTTCGCTTTCTGAATGTGGGGGTTCATTTTCTTCGGTTTGAGAATCTGGGTTGGTAACTGGAGGGTGAAGATGAGGTTGTGTTGCTGTTGCTATTGTCTATTAGTATTCTTCACGTTCATATGTATAGAATCCCCTTTTTGCTCTCATGAAGAACCAAAAATGAAATGAACACATAACATTAAACTCACTCCTCGACTTAAGGTTCAAAGTTCCATCAGTTTCCTCCTCCGTAGCACTCTCATTCATCACTCTCGGATCCGAAAACAAAGTTCCATTTTCATGCAAAGCAACCAGATCAGGAAGACGTGCTCGGCCTGAAAGTTTTGAATATGGGTTTCTCCGGAAGACTTTTGCTCGCGACGCGGAATTGCGAATCTTGGGCATTTTGAGGATTCAATTAGTTGAAAGGTTAGATGGGTAGGGTTGATGGAGTTGTGAGAAGTTACTTGTAGTAATGGTGGAAATAGGGCGGGTAAGTTGTGAGTCGTATTAAATAGGTTCTTGGTATGAGAGATCTGAAAGTCTGATGATGAGTACCGAGAGGTATTGTTATAAACGAAAATATACGGTGCGCTCGAAAGATGATCTTGAGATACTGTGAGTTGTTGAACTGAAGAAGTAAAGAGACGTTCTGTGGGTTCGTAGAGGTAGTTGGTCGTGAGATCCAGAAGTGAATAAGGATAAAGTCATTTACTGGAAACGCCAATCTTGTTCCCAAGAAATTCGATCCGCAGATTATAAGCCGTAATTCTATATAACTTCCTGTAAAAGATAAGACAAGGCAATGGGTTCCTGTTAGGAAAAAATCTGTGAATGGTCACCCTGAGCATAAGTGATTAAGCGAAATTCACTTGAGTGTGTATCGTATTGGTTTCTTTCTCGTCTGATTTCCTTCGCTTAGATACCGGTTGTTCATTATTTCACTCAAACAATAATATCTGTTTTGGTTCTTAAGCATCTTCTCTGCCCTCGTGAGACACCTCTGAGGTAAACGTACTAATTTAGACTCGAGCCTGAATGGATCTGGGAGATTCCTTAGCCTCTCGTACAATTCCATTCATTGACTTCCATCGTCAACTTGAATGCATGATGAATTCAAGATTTAGGATCCTTTCAGGTCATTTGGTTAAGACTTAGCATGTGGCTACGATGTCAATAATCCATTCTGTTAAGACGTTGGTGAATTGATCTTGTAGGGCAGAAGACTCAATGTTCTGTGTATATCTAGCCCCCTTTTTTCAGTATCTTTCACTATTTGCTTTAGCATCTCACAGCGATTGATTCCAATCTCATTAACAATATTACATTCTAGTCCCTCTGAAGGTTCCCATAATGTTCTGAAAGGACAAAACATAAGCGATACTACTACAACTCTGTCTTGGTACCACTAACAATCATGTCTAACCAAGCCGCCAACCTTTCAGTATAATTAGAGTTATGTTCTCAAAATAAGTAAGTGAGATGACTAACCTATAGCCCGCCCTTGCAACTTGCAGTTGAATAACTGGCACAGACGTTTCATAATACTCACCACTCAACTCCTTCCCCTGTAACGCATCTGCTCCATCTGGCATGACTGTTGTACATATGAAAGCATTTGAGTCTCTAGCCCAGCCCAGGGCCGTTGTCAATGGATCACTTATATCCATACCCTCAAGCCATGATTGTGCTTGGTCTTGGTATACACCGGATTTAATCGCGGATGTTAGCACGTTTGCCCAGTCTTGAGCATCACTCATTGAATAGCCCCCAACAAGTTTTTCGGGGATGGCCGAATCCCAAACGTGATGAAGATTGGTAGCTTTGCTAGTCCAATTTACAGCGATAGCATTTCCTCCCACATCAATATTCTCGGCATGAAGAGGCTGGTGAATGTCTCCGACAAACTGAATACTTGTTGAGTTAACCCAAAAGAACTCGGGGGTGAAAACTTACGTGGACGATAAACTATTGTATTAATATTAGTAATGCTTAGAGACAGATTGATCTTTCATACCTTTGCAGCAACATATTTGTCATACCTCACAGCATCTGGGTCGAGCAATTGGTTCGTCTAAGGTTTCGATTAGCTTGACTTTCATCTCAGTTTCTTGAGTCCAAATATGATTATATATCTTTGCTGCTGTTGATCTTTATGTCTTTGCACATCTTCACAGCTTCCTCATACCTAACAAAAGTCAAGTACTTGCATTGTACGATGATTGTCACGAGAGGCCCGTTTTCTTGACGTGTAATTATGGAAATACATGAAATGAGGCCATCAACACCTATCAAGTACCATTGGAAACTTCAGAAAGTTCTACTCACAAAATTCATAATGGCTCCAACCACACACCCTTCCTCCCCACAATCCCTAGCAAACTTAACCCCGCAAGCTAGATAACACCTCAAGATCAGCAAGACTCCTTGCATTTCCAAAAGCTCCCATCATCGCCATTTTTGTATCTCCAAAGCTTTCCAAATAGAAATGAGAATACCAACACCTAGGTACATCATCCAGGGCATCAATAAAATGCCAAGCGCCTGTATGTTTCCCCGCCTTGGTATATCTAAACCCAAATCAGTACAAGAGGAATTATCGGCATTTATAGAGATTACCTGAAGCTATCAGCCCACTATCCCCTCAAAATATTAGCAAATGATCTTAACAAACAGTCAAATTCCTTCGCAAAACTTCATGTGATTAGATTACACGAAAAACAACCATCCAAATCAAAAAGATCCCTCTCCAAATATCCTTACCGTCGCTACTCCTGCCAAATAACTCTCCGTTGTATTTTTCAGCAGCGTTTGAAAATAATCTCTCGTTTCATCTGCTACGAAATTCGTAGCTACGTATGCTACGGTTTGATGACCTAATGTTCCCCATGCATATGTCGATGGAAGAAGAGGGCTCAGACCTAAGAAGATGGAGGGAATGAGTTTCATTTTGAATATAGGATTAAAAAGGAGAATAAAATAACGTATATGAGAAAGGGTGGATGAGAGGAGTTTTTTTTTTGTATTAACTTATAGAATGTAGGCATTTATTCTTATCAAACGAGCGAGACATTGAATCGGTGAGTCTTGTGATGAAGTGACGGTTTATTACTCGATGGGGTTGGCTTGTCCACGGGTGTCAATTGTTGTCGTGGGGACTAATATATTAACCAATCATGATTGATATCCGAGCGGTTCGCTTCAGGGGGTGAGGTCTTTCCTGCTTCACAGCCACACCGGTACAGCTCCAGCTTTACCATCTTTCCTCTGACTCCCGGTGACCTTTCATTTTTGCTACTTGCCTCGTGGATAAAGCACAAAAAGGAAAGTAATAATATCAACTGATTGCAAATATTTTGCATTTTATTCTTTGGGGATATTGTCAAAGTCAAGTCAGAAAATGCAAGAAAAGTGGTAAAATATTCATGTTCATTAAGAGGCAGCAATTGCAAATATACAAAGTAGCCTGGCTGTTACTTCTAGGAAGAGGCTTGAATGCCCAAGCTGTCATCAACTTCATTCAAATACCTTACCATGCATGTCGTGAATACTCTACTCTTTCATTGTCTCCTCTGCTGATTCCATACATATTGTATCATCCGCTGGTATCTGCATCGTCGCCTTGACCAATTTCTTGCTGGAAGGCCATGGAAGAAAATTCTGGCCTAATGGGGGTTCCTTAGACGTGACTGATTGAATCCTTTTGTAACTCATCACCATAGATCTGGTTAGATTCTTGATCAGTAGCCATAGCATTATTCTCATTCAATTCAACACCATCATTCTGGCCAACGCCTTGCTCATAGTCAGCAACCATAATATCAACAATTTGTTTCCATTCTTCATCTCCCCCGTGGCATCTTCGCCATAAAGAATGCCATTGCCCAGTTTTCTCAGGGTTCGCAATTGCTTCTTGCTCGATACCCTTCTCCGCAACCATCAAACAAGCTTTAACAGCTTCTGCAACATCACCTTCTAGTTTCACAGAGGGTTCTTCACGGTCTAAGTCCTCAATCCAAGTCTGTAATGCTTTTATACAGAGTTTCTGGTGCCCTGTCTCTGCTACTCTCTGAAAAACATATGCATACATGTCGGCTGATTGTGATTTGGATTGACGAAGAGGCAATCTCCAAATATCCCAAAAGGCTACCCACTGTTCATTTCGTGCATATAGTTGCATCAGTCGCATTCTAGATTCATCTGAAAAGGGAGGTGACTCGAGGTTCATCATTAGAGTATGGATGCGACGTTGAATTGGTGTCATTGCCTTTGTAGGTATTCCGAAAGAATCATTGACGGTCGCTTCTGGTTGAACAGTTGCGATATCAAGGTCCGGAATACGTTCTGTGGCTTCTTGTAAAGTCACGAACATTTCTTCTGTAAAAATCTTGTGACCACGTCTGTACATTGTTTGAATGACCTTTAGTGCGAGCCGGGCACTAAGGCGTGAAGGAGCGGAGTTCGTGTCTGAAGGGCCATGGACAGGTTCAAGTATGGTACGTATGATTCTGTGGTAATATTCATCAGATATATCACTATCGTCATTTTTCTTTCTTTCAAATCTTCTGAACAAGTTTATTAAATTCATGGTATGAAACCAGGGGTGTCCAATATCTCGACCATAATGGAATAGCCAGAAGACATAATCCCACCTGAATGGGGCGGGGTGATGGGATTCTGCGTCACCAATCACAGCATCTTTAAAACACTTGAGAAAGGATGTATCCCCAGGAGTATAGCCTTTGCCCAAATCAAACATTGCCTGCTCCACTGAGACATTCTCAAGATACATCCGCAAGTGGTGCAACAGGAAACTTTGCCAATCCAACTCTACGTTGTTAGCACAGCATTCCAAAACACTGTTCTTCGCCCTTTCGAATTCACCTAGGGAGAAGTCGGAAAGTACTGATTGCTGGAGTTCTGTTAGTCTTTTGTTTTCAATTGGTGCGTCTTGTTGTGGTGAGGATAAGATACCGTGTGGGTGTTGGTCCCTTGGATTGTCAGATTTTCTTTCTACCGAAGTATGGAATCGTCGAGTCTGAGGGACATGAAAACCTCGAGGTTTAGCGATTGATGCTGTAGTATGTTGTAAAGTTTGAGAATTCGATGTAGATATTGGTTCTCCAACCTCTGCGTCTTCAACTACCTCTTCAACTTCAACTTCTGACTGACCAGACCTTCGCAAAATTCCACCCCATAACTTTTCTAGATCGATCTCTTCTCTCTTCTCTTCGGTAAGCATTTGAACGACAATTCTAACACCATCGGTCCGTCTTCCAAAGCCCACAAAGCCATCGCCTTCGGGTGTAGCATTTGCGTGTACATCTGGGCTCTCAACCACACCAATATCGACGCAAACCCAACCCGTTCTTATGCCGTCGTCGCCACTCTCATCACCCACACTTCCCAGAAGCTTAGCTCTCCTTGATTTGCGTCTCAACTTCAATTTCAATTCATTTCTTCCCAACAATCCGTCTGCGCTTGGTCGTAATTTATATGTACTTCTCAACCACCGACATAATCGATCCGCAGAGACATGTAAATGCTTTTCACTTCGTGCAGTTCCGATAAGCATGATCAGATTCGCTCCTAGTGCAGGTGGAGGGTCAAGCTTTCGCAGGTCTAATATTGTAAGACTGTCGAGGCCTAAGTCGATTGAGATCTCTTGTAGCATAGGTTCGAGGATCGGAGGTGGCAATTCTGGTAGATCTGGAATTCTTTGACGTTCAGAAAGGGTTTGAGGTGTTTTTTGAGGTGCTTCAACTTGTAAATACCATGGCACAGCCGAAACCGAATTCTCGACCTCTTCCCCCATTGCCTGGTTCTCGTCCAAAAGGTCTCGATCTTCCAGAATATCCTGATCTTGGAGATTTTCTTTCTCAAACTTATCTCTATCTGTCTTATCCCCATCTAAAATCTCCTCATGCTTGAAAGTTTCATCCTGTTCGATCAATCGTGAATGAGATAAAAATCGAATTTGTTGCCCCGGAAGCTTATTCGCCTGTAGTTTCCCAGATGCTGGCATAGGTCGAATAGGGAGCGATACAACACTCCTTAACAATGATAGGCGACATGATGCGCATCCAGTAGCTCTTATGGCTTTACTGACAACCATACTGAACAATTGGTGATGTTTGTAAAACATTCAGCTATGGCATGAAGGATTGTGGTTTTCAATTGCCTAGATTAGACATTTTTTCTGGGGAAGATTTTAGCGAACATGCATCCGTAATTCTCTCTAGTAGGTGGGTGGGTATGGATTGTATCAGGTATGCTTATGTAGAATGGGTAGGCATATTACCAAGTAGTGAAGCAATGATTGAGGGCTTGATTTCCTTCAACTTCTGATAAATTATCAAAAACATACCTACCAGTAGTACCTAAACGTACAATGTCGAAAGAACGAGCATGAACATTTGGGTGCAAGATTTATCACGTGGTGATATCAGCAAGGCTGAAGGAGTAGAGAGCTCTTATCAGTCTGCAAGGCGAGCAGTCAGACAACTTGACGGATACTTATAATTGGCTGGAGACTCACGAGGCTGATCAGGCTGCGGACGGCAAAACTCCGGACACCGCTGATTGGGCTCTTATCGAAGATGACCCCTGTAACAGTTTCTGCTTATCCAGTCGGTACATACCAGGTCCAAAAAGAAGAGAAAAAAAGTTCAATTTTGCCTTCAAATTGTGATCTATTCATACTCCGTTCACACATTGATTTCTCAATCTCAAAAGCATTGTACATTTACTATTTGTGAATTGTACTGATTATGAGCGCAATAGTTTTGACCTTCGACTTTTAAAGATAGTTTTTTTCATACCACTCTTTCTTCTGTATATTCTTTTCTTAGATATAACTCTGATTCCCCCTCTTTCGAGTCTACCCTCTTCATCTATCAAAAATGCTTGTACGAGCTGCAGGGCGAAAAGCCCGTGGCAACCCAATTGTTGATAGAATTAAACGTCAACAACAAGCATATCTTCCGTTTCTATATCCAGCTATCCATTCGAATCAAGCTGTGGCAAGCCGGAATATCAATGTCGACTCAGGGCATCATGCGACTGGTTTGCGGATAAGACGAAACTCGAGAGACAATGCTACAAAGCCTCCATCGCGGTCATTAGCAACGGCTATCAATCAGCCGTTCGAAGAGATTCCATTCCAAGGGTTACATAATTCATCGCCGCAAAATTATGCATCATTACCATTCAGTGTACCGAAACTTCAGACGCCAATCATAATCCCGGATGATAGCGCGGGAGCTCCCATAAGACATCGACGTGGAGGTAATGATGCGGTCGGTGGTACCAGTGATGAAATCATAGCACTACTCATTGCTTGCCTTCAGGTTGGAAGGATAGAGCGTGCAAGTGTGATTTTTAAACGCCTAGCACAAATGGAAGAAATCGACAGAGAGACACTACTACAATTACAGAACCAATTCTTGCGAGCTGCAGTCCACGAGATTACGATGAAACCCTCAGAGCAAGCGACACAGTTTCTGCATAAGTGGTTCGAACTCGAAGTACGAAACAAGAATCTTCTACAAGATGCCCTGACTGTAGCATATATGCTGAAGGCTTCACTTCAATCACCTCCAGGTCAACGACGTGATAGACTGGTATCAAGATATATGGACATGGTCCAAGGAGAAGCTGGTTTGGAGGTTCTAGCATGCAACGTTTTACTACCCCACGAACTGGACATCATCAACCACATTTGCCCCACATACAATCTTGCGGAGGGACTTGGAGATCTTCAAGATATCTTTGTCTCTGAGACGCCCAGAACAGTGGATCCTTCGGATGGAGTTCTACAGTATGTCGAAAAAACAGGCACATCAGTTCCTGAAGTTCGCCAAACCGACCAAAAGGGTCTCGGACTTAAGTCATTGAGAAAAACCTTGTCGATTTTTTCTTCTTTACCATCTGCAGGATATGATATGTCAAAGATGAGCGAGGAACAGCAGAGGGCTATCCAGGCACAATTGGAAGAAGATGCTGTGCAGGCTGCCATAGATCGTTGGAGGGACGAGAGCGTGAATCTGGCAAAATTAGGATTAAATACCTCACTACAATCGAAATCACTAGGAGCGAGAATGTGGAAATGGCATTTAGCTTTGACAGATGCCCTGAAAGAAGAACTAAAAGCCATTGACGAAGCAGAAATGAAGCAACAACGAAGTGCAGCAGATATAAGCAGATGTGAATACGGGCCCTTCTTACGCTACCTCCCGGCTGAGAAGCTCGCAGCGTTAACAATTATCGCTCATATGCACGCGTTGTCGTCTTCAGGAATTGACAAAGGACTTACACTATCATTTTCAATCTTGCAAATCGCCAAGAGTGTAGAAGATGAGAGCATTTTCGAAACCATACAGCAAAACATGGCGAAGCCCTCGTGGTCCGACAGCGTAGCCGACAGAGTTCGAATGCTCCGAATTCTCAAAGCAAGAGCACGCGGTGCAAGCGAAGAATCGATTGATAACGACGACTCTCCAAGCTTTTCTCCCGATGCTTTTGTTTCTTCGCAAATTCGTGCGCATGAGTGGTCTGTAGGAATTAAAGCCAAAGTTGGATCCTTCTTGTTGGAATCTTTACTGAAGGTTGCACAAGTTCCAGTTACAATGATACACCCTGAAACTAACGAGACTGTCACTCAAATGCAACCTGCCTTTTCTCATGCCCAGCAATACAGAATGGGTAGAAAGCTCGGTGTGATCAACGCCAATAAAGTCATCGTTGATCAGCTCAAGCGCGAGCCTGTTCATAGCCTTCTTGCAAAACATCTTCCTATGCTTGTAAAGCCTGAGCCATGGACTGGGTTTAGTTCTGGTGGCTTTCTTAAACATCCCGGAAGGGTCATGCGCGTTAAGAATGGAGATGTAGATCAAAGGAATTATGCCGATGCTGCTATTGATCGCGGAAATTTATCAACGGTTTTCAAAGGCCTCAATATACTGGGAGAACAATCCTGGAGAATCAACCAGCCAGTTTTTGATATTATGCTAGAGGCATGGAATTCCGGTGACGCTATTGCAAACCTTGCTCCGGATAAGCCAAAACTCGATTACCCTCCCGAGCCCGAGACCTCTTCCGACCCACTCGAACGCCGAAGATGGGTCACTGCGGTCAAGAAAGTAGAAAACTCCAAGTCAAGTTTTCATTCTCAACGATGTTTCCAAAATTTCCAACTAGAAATCGCTAGAGCTCTACGCGATAAAACCTTCTACTTCCCACATAACGTGGATTTTCGTGGAAGAGCATATCCAATTCCACCTTACCTTAACCACATGGGAGCAGATCATTGTCGAGGGCTTATGATGTTTGGGACCGGGAAGGAACTTGGTACTTCTGGTTTAAGGTGGCTTAAGGTTCACCTCGCCAACGTATACGGGTTCGATAAAGCGAGTCTGCAAGAGAGAGAAGAGTTCGCAAGCAAAAATATAGACGAAATTTACGACTCGGCAACAAACCCACTGGGAGGCAAAAAGTGGTGGCTGCAGGCGGAAGATCCGTGGCAATGCTTAGCAGCATGTATGGAATTCAAGAACGCGCTTGAATCTGGAGACCCAGCTAGTTTTATTTCATATTTACCCGTTCATCAGGACGGTACCTGTAATGGCCTTCAACATTACGCAGCCTTAGGAGGTGACGTATGGGGAGCCCAGCAAGTTAACCTTGAGCCTGGTGATCGCCCGGCGGATGTCTATACTGCAGTCGCAGATCTCGTGAAGGAGAGTATCGCAAAAGATCTGCTTGCCGACCACCCCAAAGCCAAAGTTTTGAGTGGAAAGATAACTCGTAAAGTTGTCAAGCAAACCGTTATGACTAATGTCTACGGAGTCACCTTCATTGGAGCCAAAGCACAGGTCCGAAAACAACTTGTGGCAGCTCATAAAGATTTGCCCGACAATGAAGAAATTAATCCCGGGACTCTAGCTTCTTATGTAGTCACTAAAATCTTTACCGCTCTTTCCACAATGTTTAAGGGGGCCCACGACATTCAATACTGGCTTGGAGATTGTGCTTCCCGAATCTCAAATAGTTTAACACCTGAGCAAATTGAGAGGATAGTCGCACAAGCCCCAGAGCAAGGAAGTCGTCCTTCTAAACGAGCTGCATCAACCTTAGATGACATTTCTCAATTTAAATCCAGTGTGATTTGGACGACACCTTTGAACTTGCCAGTTGTCCAACCTTACCGAACTCACAAATCACGGCTAGTACGCACAAACCTTCAACTTCTCAGCTTATCAGAACCGCATCGATCGGACCCTGTCAGCAGTCGTAAACAACTCCAAGCGTTTCCTCCCAACTTCATCCACTCTCTAGATGCAACGCATATGCTTCTCTCGGCAGTGAAATGTAATGAAGCAAAATTAGCGTTTGCGGCTGTTCACGATTCATTTTGGACACACGCCGCTGATGTCGATACGATGAACACATTTTTGAGAGATGCTTTTATCGAGATTCATAGTGACGATGTTATTGGACGCTTGGCAGCAGAAATGGCTACTCGGTACAAGGATTATATGCAACTTGTGAAGGTCAAGCCCGGAACTCTAGCATTCAAGAAGATTTCTCAATATCGCAAATCCCTCAAGTTAATTGAGAAGGAGAGAAACAGCGATTTATTGAGGGAAGTAAAGAGGCTGCGCCTTCTAAGCTCATCTAACCCAGAGGAAGTAGAAGAAGGGAAGCGCATGATTACAGCAGCTAGTATATACGAAGGTATGACAGGTGAGGTCGAGTTAGATCCGGAATCAGACGTTAAAACCTTGGGTTTGGGAAACATGGTCAGCTCAAGGTCAGCTAAAGAGCACGATACTGTATCCAGCTGGGATACCGGTGCTACAGACGAAGCTTTAGAGGAAGCTTTAGAAGATAATCCGAACATTGAATTGGAGGCAGCGGAAGAAATTTCAGAAGAGGCAGAATTAGAAACCGCACCTAAAGATAGATTTGAGAGCTCGATGAAGCCGAAATCTCGACCAAGTCAAAAATCCCAATTGGTTTGGCTTCCATTGAAGTTTGCCCCTATTCCTAAGAAGGTAAGCACACATTCTAGACTAAAAAACTGGCTCAGTCTGGCTGACGACTAATTTCAATACA